ATTTCGAATTTTTCAATTGCAGTGAATACCTACCTAAAGAAAAAATTGGAATTATTAAAAAAAAAAATGAATGACGGCGGGATCGAACCCGGGCCTTCGGCGTGCTAGCCGAGCACGTTACCGCTAGGCTAACGAAATATTATATTATTATGATTTCATTAGGAGTATATATATTGCAAAAGTATCGTTTTAAAAAATTGCTAATTTTTCAATTTTACTGGATATCGTCTCGATTTTCAAATATTCAGTTTTTAAACGATATTACCATTAATTAGCCATTAAAAAAAAAGAAAAATAGGTATTATTTAAAAAAAAAAAATGAATGATGCCGGGATCGAACCCGGGCCGCCGGCGTGCCAGTCGAGCACGTTACCGCTAGGACAACGCGCGCATTTAAAAATATAAATTCATTAGTGGTATATATTCAACATATTGAATAATTTTTTCCATTGGAATTCCACAAGATGTGGTTTCCCCCTTCCACACGTTCTATAGTTGGCTAAATTTCAGTTAAGCAAATGAAAAACAAAAAGCATTCGTACAGCAGAAAATAAAATTCACCCCGTCCACTTGATGGACACCCCAGCATTGCAATAAAAACTTGGTTAATAAAAAAAAAACACCCCATCATTGTGTGTGGCGCCCTCCCTCTCTTGGAGTGCAGTACTACGATGCAGCTGGGGTCATTCAAACCCCCAGAACTGAGCCTCTACTTCAGTCAATCCTCTTCGATCGAAATCTCCAGTACACGAGCAAAAATGTCGTCCGTCGAGCTGAACCCCAGACCAGTCAGAGTATCTCCCTTGATCAAGGTAAATTATTTTAAATGTCACATCTCAAAAATTCTCCCTCTAACAATACCCTATTTACAACCCAGTACCCCCCTAATTACCACTGACTCTCAATTGTTTTATGGCCGACAATTGTCAGTCCATCTCCCATTACATAATTTCATTTAAAATATTCATCTAATAAAAATTCAAGTTAATAATCAGAAAAATTGAAAAAAAATTGAAAATTGTTATGTTATTTATTGCAACCACAACTCTGGAATATTATTGTAGAGGTGAAAAATTGAGATGAAGATTCTTAACCTGACTTTTTCAATTATTATGGTTCTATAAAATATGAAAATTCGAACAATAATTTGAAATTGCACTCGATCAAAGTTCGGAAGATGGGGACTGCTGGTGTCGGGTATCCTCTACGGGGCTTTTCACCAAAATCGATTGAGCAAGAAGGAAACTGCCTGGCGTGAAGTGGAATCTAAAAAGAAAGTCATTAGGGACAAGAAATTAGCTGAAGAGAAAAAACGCGCAGCTGAAGGTACGTCAACTCCAGACAGCTATTCAAATATCATTACTAACAATTACCTACGTGTTCTCATTTCCAGCTGAAATGGCGGACCTCGAAGCGATGATGAAGTAGACATCCACATCCTCTAGTACATTTCATCCTGTTTGAATTAAATCCACGAAGAAATGAGTAATTTCTTTTAAAGAACATCCCTCTCGTTTCAAGAACGCTCAAAATTCTGAAATAAATTATACTTAGATTATAATTCGAGATTCTTCGATTTTCTTCTCATTACCTTCGCCACGAAAGCCTCAAACTCCTCATGATGAATTTTTTCTAGGATTAAAAATATTCCTCAAACACTGGAATTGCCAAGGAAAATTTAAAAATCCAATCTGACAGGTGAAATTAAAATTTCAATATTCTACCGACCGAGTGATTCAACCCCGATTTCCGTGCGCCGATGCCACCCACCAATGCACCCCTTATCATCAACCAAAAACCCACCACCAAAAGGTCCAACAAACGCGGATAAAGGAAACATCTACTGCACCAGCTTCGATTCACTTTTACGCACACTCTCTATTCCCCAATAGTTAATTTTTTCTCAAGGGGTGGGTTATAGGGTGCCCGCTGTGGGTGGGGTTGACACGACCTCAGTTCTGCAAGGACAGCCACCGTGAGTAGTTTGTTAACCCCAGCTCGTCCACTTCCGAGTCAATCACGCACAATTAGACTAAACAAAAAAGTGAAAACAAATTGCTCAAGACATTTGTTCCAATGCTGACATGAAAGTGCCAGTTATTTTCCACGAAGAGTCGTAAAATGGTAATGCCTCATGATTTGTTTACCTATCAGCCATACTAATCAATCGTGGCGGGTACGTTCGACCCAGAGGAATTTATTCCACACGATAAAAAAACGTAAAAACTGTAGAATAATGACATTTGGATTGGAGAGCATGGGATTGGCTGGATGGATTTTTGTGATACTTATTTTGCTAGTATGTTGCTCGGCATTCATCATGTGTTGCTTCGAGAGGGAAGATGATTTCATGACATCCTCTCATATCAGGAATCTCCAAAAGCCCTACGACCCGCGGGCCGACGGAGTCGTCGACAGTAAGTTATATCCATTATTTTCACACACGGAGATAATATAAAGTTGAATACGCAGATTAAATTCAAATGTACAAGAAAACATATTCTCTCCGTGTAGAAATAAACTGCAATGAGGAATGGTCATTAATTAATCAGTATTTTAAAGGTATTCCACAAAATTTCAGTGGGACCGATGCTATTTTTGAATCACTTCTATAATAGCGCGTACAGCGGTCACCACGCAACATATGACTTGTCCGGAGGGATTGGTATCGGAGATGCTGGAGATTTTGGGCATTACGGCGATAGCTGTGGCGATTACGGCGGTGGCGACTGAATTTAATTATTACGTAATGAACCAATTTTTAATCCACACAACACCACGGAATCTAAACGGTACAAAACACATTAAAAAAATTAATCAAAGAACTGACTATTACGTACAAACGTAAATGCCTTCTTCCAAAATTCTCATGAACTATTGTAAAACATGAGTTATTCCAACGGCCACTCATTCATACGGGAAAAATGAATTTTGTAAATCTGTAATAGAGTTACTGTATTTTTTATGTTTTCAATAAATGTCATGTCATGTGGACTAGCCATACTGTTGCCTCTTCGTTTGGAATGTTTTTAGGCCGATGTTATTTCTGTCTTATTGTCCTTGGTAATCAGCTGGAGGAGATCTCCGTTATTCGGGCGATCCTTTTTCTGCGACCACTTCCAGAAGAGCCTGAAAACGAATAAATGTCATGCCAGGTGAAGACTGATGGCATCATAAAATATACGCGACTCACTCTGATATAAAGTCAAGAGAAGTCCACGTGGAGGTGTCCGCTTTGGGCATCCACTTCCGGTTCATGGGGGTGTCGAGGGTAACGGGAAGAATAGCAGCTACAACAGAGTCTTGGGGAAGACCGCTGTCTTTAGACGCCAGGGATTTGGTCAGTTGGTGGACAGCGGCCTTGGCCATTCCATATCCAATCATACCTGTAATTAATAATGCATTGACGGATTTTCCTCGTTATAATTTTAACTTATACAACCCACCAGGAGTTCCCTCCAGAGCAGCTTTGGCTCCTGTCAGGGACAAGAAGCCCCCCTCCTTGAGATAATGAGTTGCAATGCTGGAGGCAATTATGGAACTCCAGACACTCTGTTTCCACATCAACTCTGTGTTCTTGAGGAAGTCCTTGCTAGCGGAGTTGCCACCAGCCCATCCCCCCGCAACGCAAATCACCCCGTCGACCTTCTCACCATTTAAGATCTCTTTAACTTGATCTAGGATGTGAATTTCCTGAAGGACAACCGCATAATTAGCTGCTTCGCATTTATTTATTCCGAGGAATGTCAGCAGAAATAATTACCTGCTCCTTCCAGCTGTGCTCGCCCTTCACAATTACATTCGCGTCAGCAGCATCATTAGCTTTCATATCAATGCATCCAACCCACTGGAAATGATAATTATCGTTGGGAAAGCTGGAGCAATGTGGACATATCAGATATTCTATTGAATATTCATAACTCAGGAGTGAATTCATCCATTGAATTGAGTGAAGTTTTTACATAGAAAAACAAATCGAGTGCTCATTTTTTTCCGAGCTCCCCTATTCCTTCGAGAATCGAAGGGGAGATTTAGAGGATTATCTTTTCGATTGGTCATGATGGATGGCCCTCCAAGTATCAGGGAACTGTTTGCTCCATTATCGAATTACATAATTGCACGCCTCTCCCCCTCACTCCTCCAAACCTATCAATAATTTGAGGCTTTCTCTTTTTTGGGTGTTATCATTCAATGTCTTCGAGCTTATCACCAAATGTTTTCGACACAACATGAAATAATGACCGAATGAAAACCGAGTGTTACTTCTAACTTCCAGATTTTTTTCCCGAAAATTAATCTCCTTTCATAGACTGTTATTTATGAAAGTAAGTGGTTCTGCCCCATTTGTTGTCAGCCTTCGAGGCTCGCGCCATTCACTCGCCCCAACAAATAAATAACACGATAGACCTTCAATCAAATCAGCTCCACTCAAAACACAAACAATTCCAAGAAACTTTCCCCCAAGCTATTCATTCACCGGATAATCAACAAGTTGCCGCAATTACAAACGTCAGATGAGGTGTCGCTGATAAACACGGAAAGTGCCTCAATGAAACAAGGTTATGATAATACACCTTTAACAATTAAAAAATAATCAACTCACCCAGTTCTGGGATTTGAATTTGGTAACGCAGGCAGAGCCCAGGGCCCCCTTGCCACCGTAAACAATCACACGTCCGATTGTCGTAGCCATTGTTCGATTGAATGACAGGCTTTTACGAGAATACGAAGGGAGTGTTCCCTCTCTCAGAAGAATTCGTCGATTCAAGATTTCCGAGGCTTCCCGGACTTCCCCGAATCCGCGACTAGGGATTATTCGTGTGTGCGCACGACGTTGCCACGCCTACAACGAAACATTAACTCCGATGGTCGCCATTTTGACGTGAGCCCAGCGCACGCAAGAATAACCCCATATATCGGAATTAAATCTGATGAATCAATTTTTCTTGCCAAAATTCTCAATTTTTTTGTTAAAATTTTCCTCTCCGAAGCCGCGATCTCTCGTTTTTTTTCCGCGCAACGATCAAATCGAATGTCACTCTGGGTATTTTGAATTTGCCGCGGGAAAAATTTGAATGTCGTTGGCGCTGGCAACACTGGCCGCCCCATCCAAAACGACTCCTCCGTGATTTAATCCAAATCGTGACGTCACACTAGCCCCCAGTTGGGTTAGGTTTTACGCTGGAAATTCTCAACCAAGTGGTGTGAAAAAAAAGAAGAAATTTTCGTTCGACAGAATTAAATGTTTTTCACCGAGTGCAAACAGTTCCCCAAAATTCACTCGGATAAATAACTAACTGTCCTCCAAGTGTTGATGCTGAAACATTCGTGCAATAAATTTAAAATCCTCATAATCACGTGAATAAACGTGTGACCCATCGAGGCACCGTTGTATTCCCTTGTATATGATATTCTAAACGGAAAATGAGTCGACATGAAGGTGAGTATCCCAGAGTGTCTGAGTAATTTTCACGAGCACGTTCTTGTTGGATAGCTGTGGCAAATTGTGTGGGAAAAAAAAAAATCATCAGCGACAAATGGCCCGAAACCATGATCCCACATCAACTCCGAATAATTGTCAGAATCCTCCACGACAAATTTCTGCATCTGACCGTTTAACCTATGATCCTCGGTAGGTGGGAGAGGGGAGAGAAAAATCATTTTTAGTTTTTACACGAATAAAAATGATTTTTCAGTTAATTCAAGAGTAATGTCAGAGTCCAGAGGGCAGCACGACTATCAAAAGTTAATCAAATTCACCTCGTTAATTAGATTTTAAAGTTTTGAGGGTATCTCGGAATGGACTTTCACTATCGGCTAGGCCCTTTCCCTTCATTACTCAAAGATATCGGGGTAAATGTCGAGCTCCTGCTTGATTATCAGAGGGTACAAACTTTTCAACGAGTGACTTTGTGCACACAAAAATGATCATCAGACGCAATTGTCCTATTAATACCACATGTCCCCGAAAATCCAGGGGTTTGGCTCTTGTTGCTGATGATCTCCATCGTCTTCAGTGGGAGGCACTCCCTGACTAGCCAGGGGGGGGCATGGGATCATGGGGGAATTTGTATTTTCAGTGTTAGGTGACCCCTGACCCACTAACAACCTCTTGCTATTAATGTTCACGTGGCCTTCGTGGTGATGCACTGATGAATCTATCAGATCATTCGGGAATCTGACATGGGGGAGGTGGGGGAGTGCTATTGGCTCATGGATATGCCGACGAATCGGAAATTCTTGAAGGGTTTCAGCTACGATGATATCCGAGTTTATTTTGTCGGGGTGGTGCACAATCATTCAGAAAGTCTCGTGGGGAAGATTTATTTATGGAAGTGTTGGGGCTTGCAGGGGTAAGTTGTGACTCCTGCCTAAAGGCCAATTTTCGGGGTCGGAGATACAAGTGCCTGGTGTGCTACGATTATGACTTATGTGCCAGCTGCTACGAGGCTGGGGCTACCACCACACGCCACAATGCTGATCACCCTATGCAGTGTATACTCACTCGAACTGATTTTGGTAAATTTTGTGATATTTGCGTTATTTTTGCATAGGTAGAACTCTCGGTGGTATTAACGTGGGAATTTAATTATCTCGATATTTTTTTATTCAGAACTTTATTATGGAGGTGAAGGTGTGAGTGTGGAGCAGCCGCAGTCATTGACCTGTCCTTATTGCACGAGAATGGGATTTACTGAGGCAACTCTCCAGGAGCACGTGGCCGCGGATCACCCTGACACGACTTTTGAAGTGGTCAGAGACATTTATCACTGAAATTGTTAGGAGTCATTAGCATTTTTCTTTACGTGTTATTCGAATGATTTTATGTAGGTGTGCCCTGTGTGCGCCTCGCTACCAGGTGGTGATCCAAATCATGTAACCGATGACTTTGCGAATCACTTGACTCTGGAGCACAGGAGTGGCCCGAGGGATTTGATATCATTTCTGGACGAGCCCGCGGCGAGTCGACATGGTCCAAGACGGATACCCCATCCGTCTCGAGCTGTCGGCGGCCCAAGGCCACGCAGGTAATCCCCAGATTTTTCCGATTCCCCCCCTGAAACTCTCTTAAACCGAAAAAAAATGGACCACAGGTCCAACATGCATTTCAGCTCGTCGGGTGGACTCAGCCCAAGCAGTCGAGATGGTATAGATCCTATTGCTGAATTGTTGACTCAATTGTCAGGTGTACGTAGAACTGGCACTGGTACTGGCCAGACATCCCAATTGCAGCAGCTTCAAATGCAATTGCAACTGGAACGCCAGCAAGTTAGAGTGAGTTGAAAATGAATGAATCGTTCAATTAATTATATGACTATTTGTTATAAGCAGGTGAATTCGTAACGAATGATGATTTTTATAATAGACAGCCACGAGGCACCAACTGGAGCGACTGCCAAGGAGGCAAACCCAAGTGATTGGTTCAGTATCAAGTGGCAGTGGCAGTGGTACAGCGAGTGGAAGTGGTGGTACAACTGGCAGCCATTCGACGACAATGGCTGGTGTTGTTGCTAGCAGCACAGGGAGCAACAACAACTCCAGCAATACTACCAACCCGTCCAGCGCGACAGCTGCCAGTAGCCAGAATTCCATGTTCTTGTTGCCTAGGTAAAAAAAAAATCAGAGCTCAATTTATTACAACAATGCATTCACCACGGTTTTCATTGACACTGGGTAACCGTTGTGCTTTCAAACCTGTCTTCATCCCCTCCCTCTACCTCTTTTCGGTCTTTTTTAGACTAGTGAATATAAACATTGCATGTCATGGTCAGTCGGTTCAGTGCCAAAAAATTTCACCCACCACGACACTGAACTGAGCACAATGAACGGATATTTATAAAAATAACTCCAAATCATTCCTAAATTTATAAAAATAATCAATTATCACAGAATTATTATTGGAAAGTTGAATAAAAAATTTTGACTCGATAAATTAAAATGTAAATTTCAGATGCATGGCAACGACGTTGACAGACTCTCAGCTCCAAACAATCGAGCGTGAAAGTGCAAACAGAAGTCTTTTTGCACGTGAACTTGTGATTGGCACCCTGTCTCAGACATTGCCGGAATTAACGGATCATCATCAGCAGGCCAATGAGCTCTCAGCTGTCCAAACACCTGCATCAAGTACAACGACAGCAACAACAAGCCCCGAGACACCAGGCAGTGCTGTAAAAAAGCCTTCATTACATGACACAAAGAGAGATCATCAGGCATCGACTGCCACCGGTACAACGACTACTGGAGCTGTCACTAAATCTGTGGTATCGTCAACTGGCCAGCAGTTACCCCTGCACTCTGCTGGTCAAGGATTGCCCAATCCTAATGGTATTAACACACAGAATCCAACAATCGTTCAGACGTTAATGCACAGTGTTTTACCTCAACCACTGGTGCGTACCAATATATTTATTAATTTACATTGTAATTTGTCGGTTTTTTACAGCTCATTGAATTAATGAAGTGGAGTGATCTTGTGAAATTTGATTCTCCGGTTAAAAAATAATTGAATTGTCCTCAGGTACTGCAGCAACCACTGCCACCACCGATTCGAAATACAGGAACTGGAACGATCAGAGAGCCCATTGCAACACCAGCACCTGCGTATCTTCGCGGTGGTGTTGGCCCAGTCGGTGTAACAGGTCCATCACGTCGAAAGCCAGTGAGGGCCGTCGACGGTAGAAACCAATCGACGGAGCCACCACCCCCTCACTAACCCCCAATCTTTTAGGTCTTTACCACTGTTTAATTACTTTTTCTTTCCCACCCCCTGAACTCCACGGATAATTGCCCCTGAAAATAAAAAAAATATTAAAATTCTCCCCACTCCCCCATACCCCAATTAGCACTAGTCCTAGCACTGTTTAGATCACTTCAATCATTGTTGTTTATTATTATAATATATGCTATTCATTTTTTTTCGACCAGAGAGAAAGAAAAAGCCCTCTTAACCCGCCTGCCTGAATACACTGCAAGAAAATCTCTCTAAAATCATGCGAAATGTGAATATTAAGTGAAGACGATTGGAACGATCCTGAGACATAGAAGATAAATACTTATTAAAATGGAAATTAAATCGATTAAAAATATTTAGATGATTGGTTTATCATTTGTATTGATGCTTTATCTTGGGATTATTTTGATCTTTTTGGTTTTCATGGTCTGGCGTACTATTTGTCGTACTATTTAATTGATTAATGGAGTGCATGAGTGAGTAACAAGGTGTTTCGAATTAGTAAGCAGGTTTCTGATAATAGTTTGAAATAAAGTGAGAGATAAGGATTTCTTGTCCATTTATTTTTTTCTTGGGAGCCCTGAGGGATGATTTTTATGGAATTTTTACAGGTGTTGCAAACGAAAAGTTGATAAAATCACTATTTTTAAATATTATTTCGTGAAATAAAAAAATTAGAAACAACAATACTTCATAATTATGCCACATAATTTTAAGCCTCCTTTTTCCTCTTTTTTTTTTCAGAGGAAAAATTCCATAAATTCACGATAAATAATTTATTTAATTCAATGTTATGATTATTATTGGAAATCGTGGGAGGAGGAAACTGAGATGTCCTTGGGGTATTCAGAAGGCGGGCTAATACCACAAAAGACTCCTTGCAAATTAAACAACAGAATAAATCATTATAATTTATCGATTCCCCGGTATTTAATTTGTTGCTACAATTAACGTGATTCTCATAAATTATTATTATTCATCATTAATAATTACTAACATAAGGCTTGTATCTATATAATATACCCCGTGTTTTCAACAGGAAGATTAATCACTGGGGCCTCATTGTAATATATTAATTCGATTTTAAGGATTGAAAAATGATTGAAAAAAAAACCCAAAAAAAATGACAAAAAGATTTTAAAAGCAGGGCTGAGAGTGTACCTATCATTAACAACCGTTTAATCCAGACAAAAATACACCTCAATCCATTTTCAATAATTTTCTCGTTTCCTTGATGAATTTTTGTAATAAAAACGAGTTTCCCAGGAACAGGAGAATTTTAAAAATCAGGAAGGAATTTTTAAAAAAATACGAAAGTGATCAGTTGTAACAAATAATCGTGCACTGTCTGTAGACTGCACTAGCTGTAGAAAAGAGAATGAAGTAACGATGAAAATGACGTGGTAAAGAGATATTTGGGGTGTGAAGTGATGGAATTCTTTGAAACGAGCTTTTTATGGTGTGCAGGAAGGAAAGAATGTATTTAATTAGTTTTAAATAGAAGTCTTACCCCGGTGTAAACTTATTTAGATATCAAAAATTCAGATTCACAAATGTATGGATTGTGAGCGATACGGTGAGGGGCTAATCTGGTTCTTGAAATCATTTTGTCAGTCGCAATAAAAATATTTGAAATCAACTATTTGCGTTGTGCCCCTTGCCTTTGAGACCCACGTTACCACAAAAGTCAACAAATAATGAAAGAAAGATTTATCGAGCAATATGGAGTGTCACGATGATACATATACCAGTAAAACAATTTTTTAAGCTTTCAAGAGTGTAAATAGATCCTCAAGAAATCGCACATACTGCTGAATGAATCTCCTTTCCCCGTGTAACTAATTCTGTAATTCAGTGGCAAAAAGTAACTGTCGATTTATCACTCTTTACTCTTTACTACTGAGATAAAATTGAATTGAATCTAATTAAAATCACCGAATCACTGAAGTCCTCTCATTTTCGCTGTTGCATCGACAAGAGCGTCTATCAAGTATTTTATTTAATAATCAATGAATAAATCGTTGAACCCAATTCTGAGTAATTTACAGAAACAGTAATGACGGATTAACATATAATTAGAAAAAAAAATTATGGGTGTGAAAATAAAAAGAATGCGTGCGTGTAAGAGGCAGTCGTTTGAAGGACACTAATTATTAATAGGAAAAATTTTGAGATGTGAGGAAAACAAATCTTATAAGCAATTAAACAATTAAATGATGACAAAACCGACAACATGTAAATTTGTGTTTGATTGTATTTTATGTTGAGCGACTCTGATGCTGAATATAATCGAAATTCAATGAAAAATTTCATTAATTTTCCCTCATTAACTTAATTAACCATTAATGCTTATCTTATCTATTAATAATATATTAGAAGAAGATTGGATTTCTGAGAAAAGCGTGGGAGACTGCGCAATATTGACCAATGGGGATCGAGAATGATTTCAAAGCATGCACTGATCGCGGGAAGGTCTTTGCGGTTTATTTATAAAAAAGTTTCTGGTGTAATATTTGCGTCTGGATTTTCTGGAAATATGGGACCCCTCGAGACTGCCAAGAAAGCTGCAGCTTGTAAAGCAGTCGATGAATTCGTCAAGGTAAATCGGTCTTAAAATTGTTTAAAGATTGTTTTTTAACTTTCGAGGTTAGGAGAAACGTTTCTTTCGGTGTCATCACGATTTTTAATATTATCTATTTATTTCAGACTAACAGTGTCGTGGGGATTGGCAGTGGATCTACAGTCATCTACGCTGTTCATAGACTTGGTGAGTTTTCAGGATTTTATTTAATTTTCTGTTGTCTTCAGACTTCTGATGAGCTGGAGAAGGGTCGACGACTTGTTGCGGAATCAAAGACGAGAAGAATATTTTGTTTTCATCAATTATCAAAACATATTTGACAGCTGAACGTGTCAAAGACGAGAAATTGAAAATTGTCTGTGTGCCAACGTCATTCCAAGCTCGACAACTCATCGTCAACAGTCATCTGGTATTGGGAGATCTTGAGACTCATCCCAGGGTAATATCTCAACCCAATTTTAATCCCGCAACATCCAATGAAAATTTATGATCAAACAGATAGATTGTGTCATTGATGGTGCTGATGAAGTCGACGAGGAGTTGAATCTCATAAAAGGCGGTGGTGGCTGCCTCCTGCAAGAAAAAATCATCGCCTCTTGTGCAGAGGACATGATCGTTATTGCTGATTACACGTGAGAAAATTTCTGTTTGATAATTCAATTTTTGGTGTCGGAAGTAAATTTTTTTACAGTGCAACGCATTTCCTTTCCCCTCAGAAAAAATTCTGAGAGACTGGGACAGCAGTACAAGAAGGGAATTCCCATCGAAGTAATTCCAATGGCTTATGTCCCTATTCAACGAAAAATTGAGGACAATTATGGGGGCCTGGCGAAGATTCGAATGGCAATTGCCAAGGCGGTAAAATTCATTCATTCATTTAGAAAAAAAAGTCATGAAAATTCGTAATAAATAATTCAGGGACGTGATAAAAATTCTAGGGTCCAGTTGTGACAGACAATGGGAATTTTATCCTTGACTGGCACTTCCCAGATGATTTGGAGAAATCCTGGAAAGTCATCAATTCTGAAATAAAGATGATACCTGGTGTCGTCGAGACTGGGCTCTTCATAAATATGGCTAAGAAAGCGTATTTTGGAATGGCTGATGGAACAGTCACAGAACAATCTCTCGATGGATAGAGCCAATTCACTTTCATCGCACTCTTGCCATTTTAACAGACTCTCACTTTTCAATTTTGCTCAATGGTTTTCTGGGCTCACCCAGTGGTACTTATATTGCAATAGGGAATCGTATTCAGGGATTATTTTTATATTTTACAGAAAGTTGCTGTCAATGGGTTTATTATTTTTTGTCTCGAGTTGTTATCTTTACCTGAGGGTTGTTGAAAATTTTGGAAATAAAAAAAAAAAATGTAAAGTTTATTCGTCTCTGTGTCGTTTCAATCTTCAGACAAATCCAATATTTTTTGTGGCTAATTGAACTTTAAAAAATATTGCGTTTTTCATTATGGATGTTTTTTTTGAAAAAAATTGCAAAAAAAAGACGCTCGAACAGGGACTCGAACCCTGGACCCTCAGATTAAAAGTCTGATGCTCTACCGACTGAGCTATTCGAGCCATGCGTGGTTAAATTTCTATTCCCTCCAAATACCACTGGCCCTCTGGATTTGAAATCTCCAACTAAAATGCGGTTTTAATTTCACAAATTACCACCAGAAGCAGCACGTGACGGATTTGAATTGCCTCATAAATCCATTCCACATTTTTCATTCTCCATAAAAAAATATATTGATTCCTTTTTTCAAGCGAATACATTTTTCCAATGATGGAACTCATATTTACAATTACAGCTTACTAAAGAATTATTTCCTTTATCCTCGTATTCCTTTTCTTAATTACTGAGAAGGGATTTTAATATTTGCGCTGATGATTCGACAATTATATTCCGAAAATTTATCGAATCTCTTAAAATGTATGAGAGAACCATTATTTTCAAAAAATATAAAATAAAAGATAAATACCGCATGTGATTGCAAATAATATAACTTATCTCACGTGTCCAGCTCACGTGCAACGCGTCGATCAGTGCAGCGCACATAATCTTCTGCAATTTCTATTTCCCATTCTGTATATCATCCCTCAATTAACTCACCCCTTAATCCCGCTATTTAATTGAATCTTTTGAGTGGAATTAAAGAGTTGCAGTAATCTGGGCGTGAATTTAAACACCACCGACTTGTTGAAGTCCTGGGTGAATGCCCTCGATCGAAACTCAGCAGGACCTGATGTACAAACGGTGTAACTACATCAGACTCACCCCCTAGCACATTTTACTGTGATTTATCCCAGTGTTTCACTCAATTTTTTTGGATTTCACTTCCGCAATCACTCGGCAATGCCTCGGGTATTGAATTAAATGAGAAGTGAAAATTCTTGAAATTTTGTGGGAAATCTGAGGTTTGAAATTTCGAAGACTCTTGCACACGGATTGAATGAATTTTGAAATTTCATACGACCCATAAATTTCAAACCATTCACCAAATTCACGAGGAATTCCTCAGCTCCCAACGTATTCGTCGATGAATGAGAATTTAAATTGACTCATCACCGCAAATTTCAATATAAAGCAGATCTTCACTGCCTCCAACATCACCATACGAATGTTCCGTGGTTTCGAGCATTAACATACGCACCTCATGAATATTCCCCCGTTCCAAAAATAATTATTAAATCATCTCAAGATGCAAGACATCGGGTGAGATCTGTAATCGTCTCGTCATCGCCTCCCTGAAATTTTCAGTGACTGTGTCATGAGATTTGGTTTGAAATCATCGCCTCTGACATCCACTGAATAATTTATTCTCACCTGAATAATAAACTTAGCATTTTCGCAATACGTTACATGATAATTCTCGGATTCGTATGTGCGCATGAATTTCATCCCCTTTCTGCACTTCACTGGAAATTTCTCCAGGGGTGGGGGATGTATTTGAAGAACCGTTCGCGGCATTTTCACCTCAAATACAACCCTCGACACTAGCACATGCGTCTCGCATATAAGTTAGATAAAAGCACAGAAGTCACTCAATTTCTAGCACTCGAATTTAATTAGATTAATCGTTTCCAAAGTTGCACCAGTGCCCGGATAACAGCGCCAGGATGAAGGTGAGTCTTTATAAAATTTATTTCAACAATTCCCGAATTATTTACACCAATTTTTCGATTTTCCTCTTCAAAATCAATAATTGCATGAGGTCGATTTTTTAAATTAATGATTCTTCTCATTTTTAAGGAAATTAGCTCCTTTTTATTTATTTTTATTTATGTCTTCAATATTTTTTAAATATAAAGAATAAAGACCATTCAAATAAAAAATAAAATCAAAAGTCTGTTCTGCAATTGTTTTGTTAATTGTCTAATTATTTTCCTCCTTTTGTTAATGACAATGAGATATCATTATTTTGTCCGTCAATTAGAGAAGCGCGAGTTAAATGCCATCATTAACGGTTTCTCGAGTTAACGATGGCATTTTCTTTTTAACACTGATGGATTTTTCTCGAAAATAAGTTTCATTTGCAGTAATCAAACATTTAATTCTCTTTATTCCGGTGATCTCGATGGTAAAACCAGAAGGAAAATGACCGTAACGAGATGTAAAATGTTGCCAATGGATTTTTTTAATTCGTTGCACTCTGATATAAAAATTTTAACGACTTGGAAAATGAAGAATTATGTATGGCTGACATTTTGCGGTGATGATATAACCAGATTATTGCTAATGAGATCGAAGAGTAGGATTGTGTGGATTTGTGAATGGATCAACGCAGTTTAATAAATTACGAGGGATGTTAATGGGGCCAGTTATGCAGTTGCAGCGGTGGAAAGATTATTGTAGGGATTAGTTTCCTTTGAGAATTTTACCCACTGTATCGTTACGCAATTGTTATTGAATAATTACGAATTTAGGGAGATTGCGGTGGATTTTTCTGTTTTTAGATTGAGTGTTGTATAAAGTGGACTCTAGCCGGACTGCTGCTGGCGGCTTTATCCAGTGCTATTGAGACTGATGACAAGGTGATAGCTAGGCTATAGAAAACTGTAGACGATCAATTCTCTTGGTAATTATCGAATTTTTTATTCAGGATGATCAACAGATTTTTAATTCGGCATTGGAGGAACTCGCCAAGTCGAAACGACCGTTCTGCAATGCATTCACAGGCTAGTAAAATATATAAATAATTTTCAAATGAATAAATAATTGAATGAATAAATCCTCAGGCTGTGGGAAGAAACGAAATTACTATGGAAATTCGATGGAACGATCAGGGGATTTACCGAAGATCACAATTCCTATTCCCATCTACAAGGCACTGATTCGTGCTGCATCCCAGGAACTCCGCAATGCTCTCGAACGTGGGGAATCCATCGACGAGTCATACCAAGATTATTTGCCATTATTAACATCGAAGAGACCGATACGTGGGAGGCTCCAAAGTTAATTGTAATCTTCACAGTAATGTACACTAATGGCTTCTACAAATAATCTATCTGTTACCGGCCACAAAATTATCAATTAATAAATTAAAACAGGATCATCAAATTCATACAAAGAAATTGCGAGTAAAGTAGTAATTAATATTTATCAATTGCCATAAACAATTATTATTTGAACGCATAATAATTAAATAATCGGTGGAATCGATATTAATCGTCAAAGGAGGATCGAAAAATCGTCGATTAAATGAGCAGTAATGGGCAATAGATTATATTTGAATTTTCAATTTTCTTTATCAATTTGTTTGGATTTATAATTTATAGGAGATTATTGAAAAATTCTAATTACTATTTATTGAATCGAGGAGGAAATCCCAATGGAGTAAGATCTAAAGATTCTAAAAATTTAACTTCGAAGAGATTCCTCAAGGGAGACGAGGGTAAAATGACAGATGAAGGGATAATTCGCGTGACGAAATTGAAATCACAAGCAAGATTGATCACCCATAAACAAATCCGTATTCGCTATCGCAATAGTTTTCGCGCGCACTATAAATAAATAAATTTGTGTCAATCTCACAACACGACGATTACGTGAATTTGTAATTAATCGATTAATTATAAATGTCTTCGGTGTATTTGTGTGGCCCGTTGTGTAATACATCGATGAGTATCAATAAATAAATGACATCACAAGTGAACCGTCAGTTTAATGAGTGCACTGTTATTCCATATGTACTTGTTGTCTGCGATGAATACTTTACGGGCTGTACTCAACCCAACGCACTCCGGATTGTCTGAATCACCTGTTGAGCTCGGCTGACCCCAGAAATGAGCTGAGCACACACTCGAGGGATCCCACAGCCGCGATCGACGATTTTCTCGCCAATCCCCCGGTGAGTTATCTACAATCTTAGAATTTCCAAAAAAACAATCAGTAAAATCAGTATGATATTATCATTTTTAGATCGTCATTTTTTCATTTTTCATTAAAACCTCTATTTGCAGTTTGAGGGGAAATGGCCAGACGAGGTGATGGTCCAGGACACCCCGTGTTACCCCGACACTCACGAAGACAGTGCCGTCTGGAAAATACTTGGGGGTGAACCTCATGTACATTGCGTATCCACTTTTCTCGATGTAAAACGTTGGACTACGTAACGACCGCCCTGTCTCCCATTTCCCTAGCTTTTCCTTCATATCCGTGAGCTTCCAGTAGTAAGTGAAAACTCTCTGAATATCTGAAATTATTGAATTATTCTACTTATGCAAGCGCAACTCTTAGCTATCGATTTAATTCGAGGGAATTGAACCTTGAGGAGTTGAAATTTTGTGGATTGTGTCGTTGAGTTGCTCGATCTCTCTCGGTTTGGGGGATTCCATCCCCTCGAAGGGCTCGATCTCGGTGTCATCGATTGAATTCCGCTCGATGTTTACGTCTTTCTCGATTACTCTGAGGATCAGATGCTTGAGCTCGGTTAATTCATTGGTGAATAGCGCCTCGAGGGCTTCAAATCGATCATCTACAGCTTCTGTAAGACATTTTTTGCTCATATTTCTTCACAGTTGTCACTAATCTCTGAATTTACCCGGAGGGAAACGGCAGCATCAAGAGCTTTTGGAAGGGAACGACACGCGTAATAAAAAAATCATTCAATTGAAACGAGGGACTCGTAAAAATCGAAGGATACATGATAACGTAAAAATATAATTATAATGGCGTGCAAAAGGCCTCACATCTCCCTAAAAATTGATAGGCAAATATTTAATGAAACCCTTCGAACTCACTGGCGTTGCACCCACCCGTCAGGACCTTCGTCACAATTGCCTCAGCATTCGCATTTACCCGATCAGATGAAATTCTACAAATCGTTCTCTGAGTCTCCATTGTATCGTTAACTGTGACATTTGAATTCGCTGCAACTTGATACAACGTGACATTAAATCTTCTGCTTGATATTTATGTAATGATCTCCAGGAGTCGGTTTATTTAAAGACTTACGAACGTTGAATTTGGGAGAGTGATTATCCGGCATTTCACCGAGGCACACGGAAATTACTGAATTGAGGATTATCACGAGAGAGAGTAGCGCGATCATCATCTCCTGATTACGACACGACTATGATAGATCAGAGTTTCCAGACCTCATGGCTCTCTCCCGACAAAAATAGATTTCAGTTCGCGAAGAGGTAAAGGGTAACGAAAGCGAGATAGCGAAATAGAGAAATTTCGGTGAACATGCATTTTCGTTGAGGTATGGAGGAGCGTAAATTAATCCGAGGGGATGAATTTCTATTTTCGAAATGATGAAATTCTCCCTGGAGTCTCTATGCCTGCAGAAAATAAACTGTTACTTCATTTTGGGAAAATGAGAACATGGAGGTGTCGTAAATCTCTCATATGTGTACTTTATTTGTCATAAAATCATACAGCAAAAGCTTCAGTGTTTACAGAGAGCACATAAAGGTTTTTCTTTGACGTTCAAATAATCTGGAGAAGCACGTCGAATTATTTTTCATTGGCTTATGTTGAATTAAATAGAAAAGAAATATTATCGACGCATTTCTTTGGTTCTCATCATGAGTCCGACACAGGCCCACGATCCACTCGTATTTATACTCTATGAGGCGTTTTATCCTGTTGATTAATCTTTCTGGAGTGAATAATATTTTTAATTGAAAGATCAAATCAACAGCTTTCCCTTGAATTCGTTAATTATCCATAACTTATTATTTAATTCTAAAAAAAATATCCATCGACGGACTTTTTCATCGATGAGAAATATAATGTAATAAAATGCACTTATAAATGCTAGATCGACTCGATATAATGGCGTAATTAATATAAATATCAAGTAATATAATATGGCTTTTGTTCACAATAAAATGAAAAAGCCATTTATACAGATAGTACTGTCAGTGAAAATTCCAGTAGCGAAGTAAAATGACTATTTCAATTCAACTTTTATTCTCAATTATCAAAAATTTGACTTATCCCGTTATTCTAATTCGCTGTTGATAATTTTCACCAGCATAAATATATAAAACTCCTTCATATATATATCCATAGGCAAATAAATTAAATCTTATAAATAAACTTATCTCCATATCGCTCGCATCGATTCTCTTCATCAATAAATGAATTCCCAGTGCAATTTAAACTCGCATCGGCACTAAGTAGTTCACAAACCTCCGTTTCGTTTCTCAATGATCCGAACTGACTCGTAATGTATTAAATGATATAGCTAGAGATTACCATCGAATAAGTCTTGGTATTTCAATTTATTAACTCTAGACTCATCAACTCCCATTCGGTGAGTGTACAAAAATGTTATCCCCGATTGTTTAAAAATTCTGCATTGGTAGACAAAATGATGGAAAACTCAATTGACAATCGCTCCTAATTCTTTCTCATTATCATTAATTAGCAAAATGGACTTATGTGATTACATAATTGATAGTAACATTCACACAATAATTTTCAAAACTGGTTTTCGTTGAAAAAATGTATGAAAAGACTTCACATCGGCTTCTTGGGAAACTTAATTCATTAATATTTTTATTTCTCGTAATATTTTTTTCGTATTCACCGCAAAAAATTGTCGAGTTTTGCAATTATCTAGATTCTCTCTATTAAATATTCTCTAGTGCATATGAGAATTTTCTTTGAATAAATTTTCGATTTGAGTGCAGATGACTTATTGACATTATTTGGTTTTATGAGACGAATAGATGGAGTGAGAGGTTCAATATTTACCTAGTGTTTATGATTGTGAGGGAAAATGCCCCCATCGATAACTCGAGTATCGTGTAAGGGTGGAGTGACGTTCGGGGAATTTGCAATTCAGCTCCGAGATGATTAACAATTGTTTTTACAGGACGCTGTTATTCCTTGAGAGGTTGTTTATTAAACGTCAGTACTGCATGAGGACTCGGAAATAGCGAGCAATCGACAGGGCAATAAGCGACACTGCCAATCATGTATTTCTTGAATTTTTTACTTGAAACTTTGACATTTCTATGCGCAAGCACAACGAGTGGGTGAATAATCATGTTAATTGCAATGATTAATTTGTGTGAGAGAATTTATAAATTCTGCGTTTTAGAGGATGTAATGCAAAATTTTTGATTTCCTCTTTCTTCAAGTTGATTTGCATTCGATTTTTTTAAGTGATAAAAAATTGATGTTGTGGTGTTCGCGTTGTATTATCAATAAAAAAAGAGAAAATTTTATCGAATATGACGACCAACCTTACTTTTCACAAACAAAAATGAGAGAGTTTGATGTTTTCACTTAATCCTGCCTTATGATGATTAAATTTTTTTACACTTGCTCATTAACTGTGAGATACTTCTAACGAACAAGACGAGCTGAACAGTAAAACACGTATTTACCTATACAGAGAGATAGAGATCTAGTTTTTTTCATTTTCATTATCTATTTCTTTTTCGAACAAACAGTGTGATTTAAAGTCTATTTATATATTCAATAGTTTAATAGTAATATTATAATATCATTAATTCCAACAAGTGTAAGTTTATCGTTAGATAGATTAATCTCTTGTCAATTTATATCTGTTTATAAATTTTGGGGAGTTATATTCAGTTTATTCAATTATCTATTTTGAGTTTTCACGATTTGATCTCTTTGATGATCCTCTTCGGCTGTTTATCTCCGTATTTGCTCATATATCTCGACGCATCTTTACTCCATTCATTTATGGATATTACACATCGATCGAATGATATTAACACGTATTTATTATTTAAATTTCACTATAGGAAAAGATTTTTTCATTTATCTTGCTCTTCCAGCAATTGTGATTTTATTCTCTCGATGAAATATTGATCATGGCAATGAATAAAGGATAACGTCGATACAATCGTTAACTTGGAACACATTTTCACCCAACGAAGCATTAAAAATGAATGAGAATAATCGAAATTGTACAAAAAATTGTATCAAACAATCCAAGCACAAATGCATTCATTTAATTTGCCTGGCAGTTCGTTAATTGATAAGTATGATAGACACTATATTTAGATTTATTATTATACATAACACGGAATCATTCGCATCTCGTCTGTTCATTAATGATCATCATCATCAGTCACATCTGTCGAATAATTTATTACCAACTAAATACATCAACTTTGGAGATACTTGGGAGAGTATTTATAATGAATCAATGAATGTCAACAGATCATGACTAATCACACGACGAAATCGTCTCATTTGGTTTTGAATTTTACTGAGGAATAAGATATCAAGTCAACTGTTACTTTACTTGGTACTTGGTAATTCGTTATTTGGTACGATTAACGATCTAACCCGTAAAATCATCCTCACTGACCTGTCCATGCTCTTTTTCCACGTACAAAAAAAAAACAAAATTACGTAGAAAAATTTGAAATCAATTTGTCACCAATTTTCTCATGCGTGCATCTGAAATACTCCTGTTGAGAATAAATAATAAACTACATTTAATTCAATTATTTAATTAATGGACGTGCAAGTCCCATGGAGGTTGTTTGTTCACCAGTCGTCAGGTGCTGTCAAACAAGTCCATTCGCATTAGATGCACCTAAATTTTTAATAATTTTCGTCTCTTAAGCCTCGAGTGATTGTCTTTACAAGAGCCATTTGGCGATCAGAATCATGAAGAGATGTGGAGCTAGACTAGCCAGGGATGCTGCGTCCCTGTCATCCGTCACTGTTATATCACTCTCCAGGAGGAAAGCATCGTCGATCACGTGGATTATTCCATTTGTGCATGCTACATCTGGACGAATTACGTTGATCCATTTTTGCTTGCCACTCCACTGAATCTGATACCCTGAAATCAATATATTTACTCCATTACATTTTCAGACCTTTCGGTGGAAATTATTCGTTTGATTTCTAGACTAGAGCTATGAAAATGCCTTTCAGCGTGAAAGCGTCGATCTTGAAAGTGGAATCACAGTGAGTGGATCGCTTCTGAATGAACCTTTTCGAATAGTTTTGCATGGATGAGTGGATGGAGAGCAAGCAAGCGAAATTTCAAAATGAATAATTGAGGAATGGAGTTGATGATTTATTTCTTTCATTGATAATTCATAATTGACGCACTGTCGCATAGATGATATATTTTTTTCGGGCGTGGAGAAATGAATAATTAGCAAATGGAAAAGGTAAAGTGGAGCTTGAATTAAAATCACAAGTTAGTTGAAAAGAGCGGCAGAAGGCTATTAAGAAAATTAAACAGAGTGAAACGATCAAATGAAAAGACATTGACCCTCCCGAGGGTTTTCAAGTGTGCAGAGAATCCAATAGGCTATTTCACACTTGTATCCCCAACTTGTTTCACCCCCATCCACCAATTAGCCCGTGAGAATGGGTAATCAAGGAATTTGCATTTAAATGACGGCGGAAAGGTGAATAATAAATTGTCCCATGTCGTCTCGCCAGGACATCCAGAATAATGGAGAGAATTTCTGTTTTATTTCAGTAGCCGAGTGAATAAGCGACCAAGCCACCACTGATGAAGAAAAATAAAACGATCCACCAATGATGGATATTCTCAACGAGAATTCACGAATTGACCATCGCCGTGTACGAAAAACTCGCCAATGGAACTGATTTCCACTGTCTTCCGGTCCCTCGGAAATTTATCGTAAAGAGTAAAATGTCTTTTTCACCGATTCCGGTGAGCCAGCATGAGGAAGAAACCTAAAATTGATGCAGAGTGCAGCTGAAAAAAAATAGAGAGTGAGGATGTGGGTGGAAGTGGGAGGGAGTGGTATAACGATACGATTTATTGGTACGATCGTTGGCCATCCTCGATGACCACCATTGGCTATAACGATATGTATTTATGGTACCCACATAAATACTGTCTTTATAGTCTAGCCGAGCTCGTAGTCGATACTTTGAAAGGAACATGTGAGGGAGTTGACTCCTGGGGGAATTTTACAGTATATACCAGGGGGCATCTTGGAATGAACCATTCGCCAGGGGAATGCATATCCCAGGTGAATAAAAATACCTGGGATTTCTCATTCTCAACTATTTCCAAATGAAATGCGTATTTCTCCATTGCCCGATTTAAAGGCCATTTTTTTTTATCAAGTAAATATTTTTTATGATAAGTTGTTCTTCCTCAGAGTGTACAGCAGCCAATCTCCGTCTACATGTGAAGCGCGCTATTCAAATGCAACTTGACAGAGCAATAAACAATAGTGGGAATAGGGTACTTTAAAAACCCTCGCATACAACGGAAAAACTCACCGTTGAAGGAAGCATTACGAGGGCGTATTGCATTCTCATCGTACCTCTCATCGTCTGGTATGTCAATGAAATTATACAACGAGCGGTAAGTATTTTCCCAAGGAGATAGGACCACTGGATTTTTTTCGGTTGTGCATGGGGAAGAGGGGCTTTTATTTCACGGCTTATTGAGGGAGTAAAAAAATTCAGATGAAGTCCGATACCTACGCCCAAGCGATAAAAGTAAAACTGGGATTTACACGGTGGGGAAAATGGTATTCGACCATTGGTTTTTATTGCTGGAAAGTCGAGGGGGTTGTAATAATATAAGGGAAATACTCACGGCCATTCTCTTCCCTGATACGGATTTTCAGGATATCTCTCTGGGCTTTGAGCTCGATACTGCCATTGCTCGTGGCATTCTTCAGGGCTCCCATCGTCCACGGACTGTTTGCTGAGACCAGGTGTCGCTCGAGGACTTGTTTAGCCTGCACGTATCAACAATTGTTTTGGATTGAATGCTGAATATTTATTTCCACCGAAGAAAATAAAATTGTTACGGTACTATTATCGATTCTGTACTCACGTGATAGTCGTAATTAGCCAGGAAGAGTTTAGTATAGGCAGTGGGAGTGACGACTTTGGCTTCCTCCCAGGCCCTGTCGTAGGGCACAAAATACGTAAAACGTTTACTAGTGTCTCCCAACTGGTCGTTGAAATTCCTCCGCTTGCCAAGGATGTAAGTTTGGCTGTAACAAAAACAATTCCCCTCAACCACCAGAAATTGCATGATAAACGAATCAAGGATGGTGCAATGAAAATTAAATCTCTTTCAATTCATATAGTTTTTCCAGGATTTGCCCGAGTGACAAAGCGCAGTGTCTGACTAATAGTATTTTTCAGCAAAAACCGCATCATAACTTTTATTCTCTGCACATACATTTTTTTCATTCCCTTTTTTTTTCGACGGTATTTGCTCGTGAACCTGGAGGATTATCACTGCGATAAATGTTGCCCCATGGTTCTCCATACGGTCTCTCCTGCGAGTTTCATGCTTTTTCGTTAACAGTGTGTATCGATGTGAACACTAGTGGTATCGTAAAACTTCATGGTTAAAAATTTACGTTGAAAGGGCGTCGAAATGAAATGAGAAGAATCGTTAACAACTCGAGCTCCACGAATTTACAAATCATACATTTTTTAGATTGTCGTGGCACTATCGACGTGAAACTGAAGATAAATAATTATGCAAAACATTGAATTCAATTCACCTGACGTTGAATTATTTTTCGGATTATCAAAAATAAATCTCCGATGAAGAAATTCACGCGGAAGTTGTCATATTTCTCACACCCGGGGTTTTCATATCCGTTTATTTCTGCTTTCACTCGAAAAAAAAAACATGAAATGGAATCATCAATAGATTTTTCGAACAGGGGATCGTAGAGATTGGGGAATAGAAACGCGGCTATCGCGCGTGCGATTGAATGCGTTAGATTCGTCGAAGCACAGCCAACGCATATGCGAATCGGGGCTCGATTTAGCCATGCATCTTTGATGCATTGATGGCTGAAACGACGGTTATCGGTGAGTCCAGGAGTAATGCTATGAAAACTAACGACCGTATGAAATACACGGTTGTTGCATACATGCAGGTATTCCATGTCGCATGGAATGATGTCATGGATGGATTGACATCACGTTTCGTTATGATTCAATGTCCATTCGTATTTCATCCTCTGTTCCTCGATTTTTCGATTAGAGTCATCAATTTCTTGTGGTACTGTGGGAGTTGCTGAATGTTCGCAAATGTCGAGTTATCGTCAGTAGAAATATTTTCAATGCAGAGGGAAAATAAAATGATCTTGAATGAATGGTCCATTAGGAATGGAGTGAGACAAGTGAATCGAGGGTTCTGGGGAGAACACGGGGTAACAGTACTATTAAGCCGTTGGTAATTGCACGTGCACCCAGTCAGTTTAAACTTGCCAGTCAGAAATGGCTCGAGTCTTCTCGTGAACGTCCAGTGGACGTGCTCCAGAAAATTGCCAATTTGCATTCGGTTTCTTCGCTCAAGTACTGCCACCAATCTACTCGTTCACCGCACTCTTTCGCCTTATACTCCACTATCTTTTTCCTAGTCTTCCTCGGTTCAAGTTTATGGGGGACTTATCACCGGGGGTAATGTGTATATTGAAATGGAATGGCAGGATTAATTGTCATCTATTGTACGGGGGAAATGCAGTGAATCAGGGGAAAAAACATTGAAGCTATTTTGTTATTCATGGTGGGGCATTAGGACTCCCTCGTGTCTCTTCGTAGATTAGTTTTTGTTTCTTCGGATGCCCCGGGGCCGACAAGTTTGTTAATGGCTCTCACAGTTGCTCCATGCCTCATATACTTCATAATGTTGACAGGATTAAAACAAACTGTTTGCTGGGTATTAATGGGCAATTTTTTTTAGGGTAGCAACGCTGAACCTCAATTGACCGGTCAACGTCCTTCCTGGCAATTTCGTACGGATCAAAATATTGCATTTCCAATTACGCTAAAAATAATTCCGTTCATTCCTTCGATCCCCTGAATTCATTGATTCGGGCAATTCGTGAAATGGGTACTAAAATTATTTCCATCTCAATTTATCGTCGAATAATGTCAAATAATTTCTCAACTTCAGTTATAGCAATTTACCAATTAGATTGAGGTACTTATTCCAAATAGAATTGCACCGATAAATGACATTATCAATTTTTGTTAATGGAAATTCGAGAATATTCCGAAGGAAATAAATTGTTTGTCACTTACAGGGAATTTTTAGGGCAGAGTAAAATGGTTTTTTTCCCTGGTTTCACTTACTTGAGCATTGGGTCGGTCTTGAGCTTCTCCAAAACAGTTGTGTAAGGAACACCGAGGACTCGATCGATGATGTGAATGATACCATTGGTTGCTGCAATGTTGGCTGTTAGGATTGTGGCATTTACACCGCCACCCTCAACTGTCACCACTTTTTTCCCGTCAAAACCGTCCGCAACGTTGAAGAAGAGGTCCCGACGATCCGCCGCTGTCCGAACCTTTTGCAAAAACATCAATAAATCATTCATCATTCCGATATATATTTTCTACATTTTTAGTAAACACAAAGATATCTAAATTATTCGTGCAGAATATAATTTTAACGTGCATGTCGAGGCATTTGAATTTTACCAATATATCGGAATATTTGATACTGAATCCCCGCTTTTTTGTGGATAATTCAAGTTTTGCGGGAATTATAAAGTTTCCCGATTTTTTTGCTATAAATCGAAGTTGATGAATATCCCAAATTTTTCTGACAGTGAGTATTTAAAATGGGAAATCCTAATGAAAAAAAGTCCTCGCCTGATTGACATTGAAATCCAGAGCGATTGGACTGTAGTCTGCCTCGAGGGTTTGCAACATATTGAAAAAGTTTTCACAAACTCTCGGTGCACGAGGTGAACCCGATGAGAGACCGTCGAGTATCTTCACTCCTCTGGGTAAATATTTGTGGGAAAAATCAGAAAATCGCGATTTCCCGCTCGAGTCCCATGAATTTATGCATTCGGTGGATGCATTACCGAGTGATACCGTCGATTCTCTATTTGCATAAGGAGTTGTTTCTGGGAAGAACAGGATATTAATCCCTCAAAAAACGAGATTCTGATTTTTCCATTCCCCGCATAAACTCCTATTCCAATTCTATTTTTTTTATTTCTAATTTTAAAAAATATCGGTCTATGGAATCGAGAATCGAGAATCGAGAATCGAGAATCGAGTAACACAATCCTCAAAATAACAACTAGTGAAATAGTGATTTTACTGAACTCCAAAACACTCCGTAATTTTCCTCTCCACTAATTGACGAACCAATACCTCATTCTAGATTAATGATCCCCCTTTCCCCCCAGGTGCTTCAATTAACTGTAATTTTAGATAATAGTTATCGCCTTATTATGACCGATTTTCCAATTACTAATGATCATTAACCCCAGTGCGTAATAGACATAATTTCCACCGAATTCTCTACTCTCGATACTCGAAACGGGATTCTGCTTCAGATACAACAATCAATATGTTTCTAGTATATCGGGAATGCTCTACATTGTTCACATTACTACATTGAAGTGTCACATTAATTATGACGAATACCGCCGAGTGTTCTGGATAATTGAAATTTCCGGGGGGAAACATCCAACGAACCATATCAATCCCTTTCCCATAATTGAGGTGGAAATGTGTGGAATCAACAGTAAAAATAGTAGTAATCATTCCATTTAGTGGAGAGATGAATGAATTTCCACCGTCAAAATTCTCTGAAATATCCAGAAAAGTCACTAAAATTAGCTGTACAATTTTTCAGCAATTGTGCTGTCCCCCCAATGAAAAATATTCGTTAATGAGGGGTTGCATGAATAATCCTCTCTGTCTGTCATACAGGAACGCTCAACTCAAATAAATCCCCAGGAATTAATCATATTATAGTCTTCCACTTGAAGAATTTCGCAGTTCAAAGGAGCAACAAACTTGTTCCCAGCACTTTCTCGCTTTTTAACTCGCCACAGCGCGTCTGAGATAAATTCCTGGGTGAATCGGTACGATGCTTTCTCAATCGCTCCATATCCTCCGTTCTCCGGTAGCTTACTCACTTAGCCAACCCATCCCCTACCCTATCCCCAACATCGCTAAACATCTCCCATGAACTTTTCGCCTGCAGGGGAATGAGAGAGCTATCCTCCCCCGAAACCAACTGAGAAAATCTTTGCCGCGTAAAATTGAATTGTTCTCAAGAATCCTCCTTCGTGCTCTCTTTGTATTCGCACTGAGAAAAAAATTTGAGTACATTTTAAAGGAAAAAAAATTCTTTCCAAACTAACAAATTAAATTTTTGAGCTCAATTATGAATATACTTGTTTGCAAAATCAAATAAATATAGCTCATGCACAATTAAATATCTATTAAATATGTACTCCACAAATTTTCTTCACCGTTTCACGCGCTAATTAAAAAGCCCTTGAAGATATATATATATATATTTTTTTTTAAACAATTCCGTAAAAACTACGCAATGTTTTACAGCTTTTTTCCACCGTGCAGCTATAAACTATGAAATACCATTGTCGAACAACGAGGAACATTGATAGCTCAGTAATTACCGCATTAACTTGCAGTCCCCTTCCTTTCGGCAGCACCTTCCCAATGAACAATTAAAACCACCAGTTTATCATGATCACTCGGTGCCCCCCACCTCTCAAAAAAACTAAAAATAAAATGGTTCCGCATTACACTATAAATAATCAACATACCGCACTGACGCTCTTCTTCTTGATCTCCTCGAGAGGCAGTTTTTCTCGGACGTAGTGCAGCTTGAGGATTTGTCTGAAACGCTTCTTGTCCTGGAGGATTCCCTGGTCTCCAAGCAGTTCCCATGCTGCATTGCTTGGAGCAAAGAGCGTGATGTCTTGAACTCTGGTTATCTCCTCCATGAAGTCACCCCCATAATCTCTGATGTTCTGGTAGAACTTGTGAACAGGTCCATCCTCCTTCTCCTGGATCAGAACCAATTAATTATTATTTCCTTCGTTAGCAAAACCAAAGCATCACTGATTCATTGATAAATCGATCAAAACATGAGGAAAAGGGAAAGCATTAGCGCACAGAGAGAGAATTTTTTTTCCATTCTACAATTTGATTCTACGATGATAAAATATTTAGTCTGTATTGCAAGGGATGACATTAGCAAAATGATGAAAGTAGAAGTCGGGGATAAAATAGAAAACAAATCCACAATGTCCTTGGAATATTGAAAATCACAATGCCCCGGGGTAGATCTGAGAAAATGAGTTTTCCATTCGATGTAATATTATTGGAATTCACGGTAATTACTCATGTAATAGATAATAACCCAGGGCTTGGGGTAGGAAGCTCCCAGGAGACATCAACGAGCACGAAAGCGGCCAATACGATAAAAAAAGTGAATGCACAAAAAATATAAAATGAAAGAAAAGTTGCTGTGGTTAATGGTACTCCACTGTGGAATTGAGAAAAATTTTTCTCCACTCCTCTATAACGTTTTCCCTCCTGATTTCCGATGAAGAAACAAAGAGGGCAAAAAGTTGTGGGAGTCGGACAAAAAAAGAAAGTATAGAGTGGAAGACAGAAATGTTTCTCGCTTTTATCTCGAATGATTGCTTCCTCAATCCAGGTTATTTTTTCCCGTCTGACAGACGTGGCTCCACTCCGTCCCCTCGTTAATCTCTTTCTGGAAATTGTGGTGGGGAAAAGCCAAGAGGCTGGAGTATCAGCTGGAGAAAAGTTGGAGTGTAAGAAATAGTGAAAGGGTTGACGAAAAAAATGGGGAGTAAAAAATAGTGAAATGGTGAATCTGTGGGTGTCGGAGGGCTTTTTATCAATTTGGTCAACGTAAAACCTCTCGAGGTGATCGCTGTTGCCTTCTTTTCATTTTTCATAACATCGAAAAGCCAAAATCCAAATCAGAAAATAAACATTATTGTAAAGTTGATTTTTCAATGAATTATTAATATTATATTATCACGGGAATTCAAGGAATTTATTTCACAGCAAAAAATAAGAATCTTAAATTGTAATCGAAAAGTTTTTATTTAAGAACCTTACCGCAGCTGATATTAATTAAATCGATGAATTACCGCCGTGTTATATTATCTTGCTAATTAACTACATTAATCTCCCTCTTTACCTCTACTCTCTATTTTATTTATAATTAACCTGATTATCCAGATTTCTCGTTGCTGGTTAATAGTGAGTACTTACGAGGCTCTATACGACATGCAGAGTCCGATAGAGACATGCAAAGCACCACAGAATAACATCATTGAGTAAATAAAAACATATTCAGTAAGATTGATAGAAAAATATTGAGTTTATCGTAACAATTTGTTGGTAAAGTCCAGTCTCCGTTGCCTACTGACTCGAGTGGAAGGGAAATAGATCCTGATTTAGTCGGACAGAAGTTCTCTCTAAGATATCCCCAAATATCTAAATTTTCATTTATTTTTATTCTCGCTATTTTCAACCGAGTTATTCTCAATTCAATTCCAAAATTGTCTTCAATAATTCTCTCCTTTATTTCAAATAATAATTATTCACTTCTGGTGAATAAATTCTTATCTCATGTACAAATTAATTTAGGGATAAAATCCGGTGGTTGTGATGAATAAGCAGAATTAATATCATAGCATTATCGAATTCAGATACTGGGAGTAAAAATTAATGAAGAGAAAAAAATAATCCGGGTATGTGTTAAATTACACAAGCAGTAATTTTGGATAATTGAAATTTTAATGGAATCCCACAGCGAACCTCGCACAGCTTCCGAGACTAGCTCGTGCAATAGCAAAACTCTTTCTCGTGGAAAAAAGTGCCTGATTACTTTTATGTCTTCATTCTTTAAACAGTTTTTCCGATTAATTATGGAATTGTTGATTTTAATCAGTACCAAGATTGGATCCTGGAATTTTCCTGGGGTATATTAAGAGCTCTGATTGGATAATTTGGATCTATTGGCTCGATTTATCGTGAATTTATAATTCTCGAGTTAATGAAATAGTCGAGGAGTTTTGATGGATTTTAGGGCGGATGTTTTTCGAGGCACCTCAATACAGAGATTTTTATTTCGATGGAATTAATGAAATCGCACTAGTCTAGGCATTTGTGGTACATGCACTCATGCATAATCGAAATATTCTATCGAATTGAGATGAACAGATTAATTTCGGGCAATTAAGGAGACAGGTGCATTATTTAGTCATGCATTATTTAATAAATTATTTAGGGAACCCGATGGAAACGTTTTTGATGGTTCATCCATCCCTCCACGTCTAAAAGGATTTCATGGACTTTTTCACGACTGAATTTTCACAGCTGATTTTTTTCGCCAATTTCTATATGTGAGCAAATGAATTAATGGAAATGGTGTCGCTGTAAATTCATTAATCCCTGGAATGTTGTATCAAAGTCGTATATCGTTGACCGTAAAAAGAGTTTCCGCCCACGTAGACAACCGGAGAGAATAAAAATAATGTCGTATTCTCACCTAGTGAAATAGTACACCTCTTTGTAACCCATACGAGGAGGCAAGAGGCAGAAATGTACACGCATGCGGCCAATGTGGCCAACATACGGTAATTTATGAGGCTTGTTTCGAGGCAGACATCGCGAGCGTTTTCTTCTCCGGGACAACACTCGTTTTTTCAATGGTGACAAGAAGATTTTTCATTCAAGCCCCACTGGCTTTTTACCCTTTTTTTTTCTTTTTACAACCCCCGCTTCACCTTGTTCGCGTCGAGGGATGCGTTCTTTCTCATTTTGCAAACGAAGGGAAATGGCGTTTTGAAAAGATTTCAACTTTTAACATTCAACGATTTTTCATACTTTCGGGGGAACATCGGGATTTTTTCTTCATTCCGATCTGTCCGAACTTTCAGAGAGGGTTTCTCATCTGGGATTCATATTTCAATGATTGATTGTCAGAAAATAAAACTGAATGATCGATCTGAAATTCAATTGATCATTTTTACTAATTAAAAAATCGAACTTTCAGTTACAGTTTTACAGTTTTCGATTAATTTCCAGAATGATCATTGTCGTTTCAATTTGTCTTTATTTTTCTTCACAATAATTCAAGCCCCGTCTCCGTTATATATGCACATTACCATGTAAACTTTCAGTTTTTTCTATTATCCAGGACTGTGAGAAGGGGTGGAAAGTTATCTCCATGCGGTAGATAAAAAAACGTGCGCTATCATTGGCGACTGCGCAATGATAATTCCTCGCGTACGTTTCCATGACAAGAGAGGGTAAACATTGTGGGGTGGTAAAAAAAAATGAATAAACTGAATGAGGAAAAAACCGCGAGAGGCGTATGGGCGTAAAACTACCCTGAAATATCACGTAAAAAATACTGTTTTCCAAATGGCGAAAGGAGAGGTAAAGAGTGTGCGGCAAAAATTGTTGCGGGAAGCTCAACATTTTTACGGAAGATAAAAAGAGTGGTCGCAGGAACGTAAACAAGAATAGAGCGTCAAACGCATTGTTCTGTTGGATTTTAAACTTTTTTTTTTGTTTTGCTTTTTTTTTTTATTTGGTCAAGTGGAGGTTCGGTTGCATGGCCCTCGTTTTTCTCGATAGTTTTTAATTGTTCAATTAGTGGTGATGAATTGGGATTTTTTAACGGGAAAGTGAGTCAAGGGAAACAATTTGGCAGTTGTTTTCACTGGCGATCGATGGGCTATTCACATTTCTCTATTTCTAAATTCTATCATTCCACGGATGTTGATACAAGAACAGCGAAAGAACATGCCAATACATTTAATCGCCATTATCAAAGCCACATGCAGAACAATGAACAATGATTTTGATTTTTCCCATAATTTTTTTCTCTGCGTATTTACCATCACAAAACTCTCAACTTGTTCATTAAACACCACAAAATCAAAATAATTAACCTGTCTCTCTGTGTAAACAATGAGATTAACTGAAAAAATTATGAAGAAGAAGTATGAGGGCATGATGAATTACCTTAAAGGACTGCATAGAGAAACCAGAAACCGGGAGTTGTTCCGTAACACAAGAAGCGAACAGAAAACAGAGAAAATGTGATTTGTATTAGTTTGTTCGCTGTGTGGTATTCAGTTACTCCCGTATATATTTTTTTTCGTTCACTGGTTTACTCGTAATGAATACACGAGATGATTGGATTGTCCGACAGATGTGAATCTTTGAAAAAAAAAATAATTCCCCTCCTTTGATTGGCAATTATCCCGCGGAAAAATATCGATAGAATAATTATAGAGATTTTTCCGCAGAATCGAATCCTGAAAGTATCAATTATTCCACCGATAATTACCCCACAATTCCAGGTCATTTGGAAAATGTAAATGAGATGACGTCATGGGATAATAACAGTACAGAGAGAAAATAATATTAATTCTTAATGACTTATCTTTGATTTTTGGGAATGATTATTGAAAATAAGGAAAAAAAAAAATGTTTTTCCCCGTGTTTATTTCTGAATATTTATGGCGATTTTCCAGCAGGTGCAATATTCATTTGAGATTATGCACAAGTGAGATGGCATTTTTTTTTTCTCGACTTTTCAGCAATTCTTTACATGAAACAAACGGAGGGTTGCCCATGCGCTGGCTCTGTGACGCATGATACTAATATAAATTCATGAAAGTAGCTGCAGAGCGATTCTCAGTAGATTCAAGTTTTTTTCTCTTCTTTGCTTTGAGTTCATTCCGAATTTCGTTTTTTCCCCTTTTTCATTTTATCCTTACATTGGTTTTATCGCTCTCTGCCGTCATCTCATTTCACTTCTTTCTGTATTCAATGTGAATACGCCTCACTCGTTCTGTTATGCTTTCTTCTCTCTTGTTCTCTTCTTTTCCATTCACCAGTCAAATAGGGAAAGAATTTTTCATCAAACCTCGAATTGCTTGATGCGATTATCCGCAATATTCGCATCCTGAAATTTTATTTCATCGAAATGAACGTGGAAAATGTGGGCAGATGGGGATTCTCTTCATCAATTAGCTGATTAATTCTCCTCGACACCGACACAAATTATTATCGTTATTAACCGGAACGTTTTTTACCGAGTGAATGATTCCAACAATTATACAAATTCATCCCAGGATTTATCATCATCATCATTTATCCTATTATTGTCGGCATCCGTCGATAATCGGCTCTTTCTGCTGGTGAATATTTATGAAGCCCAAATCGAATGGCACGAGTACAGATGATAGCCCATAAAACCCCAGCACGTTACAAAATTTTCACCGGGCGTTATTTTCCAATGCTAACGATCACTCGATAGTTGATTGGGCGCATTAGGGATCGGCCAATTATTCGTGAATTCATTATGGCCATCGGTAATTAGGCTTTACCAATTTTTGAATATGGAGTTGGTTGGCCTAATGAATTATCCACTGCGTTGAGATTAACGTATGCATTCCTGTTCCCGACGAGCTTTTCTTTTATTTATCAATTTTATTGCTGGAATTTATTCCCATTGACTAGTCGATCGAAATCTCATCGAAATTATTGGTGGTGCGGGGTAAATGATTTGATTAATTTATCGCAATTCACCGAGTCAATATTTCACGATGAATTTCAATCCAAACATTTTATTTCAATATTTAATTTTCATTTTTTATTTTATGAAAACTGATGGAAAAATGTGATTTCGCAAAAATGCATTCTCCCTCTAAAAAAATTCTAGATTCGCCCCCCGGGGGGTGTAAAAAAATATCCCGAGAATTTTCATCTGTTTATCCATATAATTTTATTGTTTTCAAAAACTATACCAATTCGCCCGGTGAATAAAAAATGGAAAAACCGAATGAATGATATTCCGAGGACAGAGGGCGGTGATAAAACTCGGGAAATTTGCTGGCGACTGGGAGGTTGGTCGTTCCCAATAGAGACGAAGTGAAAAAGGTCCTCGGAACGGACAGCTAGTGTGGGATGTAGACCCTCAGGGTTTTCGCGCGGGAATCGTTAAAGACGTTTAAACTTTTGCCGTAGCGTCAGCTAGAGCACAGGACCCTCTCTGCCGTCGTATCTCAATGAGCCCCCAGGTGCTCTATTCCCGTCTTCTCCTTTTTTTTCTTTTGCCCCCCCTTTTTCTCCCTCGTCTCTTTCATATGCAGACGCTCAAACGAACATTCATTGCTCCTGCCGTGAACAATTTTCCTTTGAACAACGCATTATTACTTTTTTGACAAACTTATTTGAAAATTAACAGCCAAGTTTCTACTCTGCTCCATTCTTCTGCTGAATCAATTGATCAAATAAAGCCATTGAATTTTCTAATTTGATTGGATTGTGTGGAATTCAAATTTTTGAGAGGTACTTTAAAAAAAAAAATAGAATCACCATCTGCTCATAGAATCCCTCTCCATTCTTTAGTGATGCGCTAATTGGTGTACATTGTTTCAAATTTTCGGGGGTAAAACAATATTGGCTATAATTCAAGAATTTTCGGATTGGTTTTTGCGGTGGAATAAACATCAAACTTTATAGAACTTTGTGGTTTTGTGTTGTGATAATGATCCTATCAAGAGCATAGAGCATTCATAATGAGAACATCGATGAAAATGATTTTAATTAGTTTCCCATAATGAATAATTCGTGCCCCCCAGGCTGGGAAAATTTGTATCGCTGGGGGGTAGAAGAGGGTGAATAAATGTGGGGGAGTATTTTGCGAACATTAGGCAGACGTATATATCCTGTGTACAAAGAAACAGCGAATTGTGCGGTGCAACGACTGCAATTATTCCTGGATTTTTCACTCTGTCTTGCCACGAGAAGCATTAACACATTTTTTCTCCCGCTGAAATTATTTACTTTTGCTTCCAGAGTATTTGGTTTAGTTTCCAGAGTGGATTTTCCAGATTGATAGAAGTACGAGTTAGCACGTTCTACTTTAGATGAGTGCACACCTGGAAGTAAGCGGTTAGTCCTATTCTTGGGATCTCCAAGGGTGTCAGCATGTCCTCGAAGGATTGAATTGTTCAAGTACTTTTGCCATACTTGACTATCCTTAATGATTCAGACAATTCCGTTGGAGATCACACGAACAATTCGACGTTTACGTGATACATCTCGAGCTGACACAACATTGTCCACGTGAGTGCCGGATCAAAGACAACACCAACGCAATTGTGAATTTTTCATGCCGCGATGGATGAAATATGCAGATTGCGGGTCATGTGTGCAGTACGTACATTAGAATTTTCTCTGATCCAGCGAGTGGTACAGTGCGGGTGCTGACAATAGGCTACATGCTACAGAATTCAACATTTTACTCATTTTCTGTTTACGCTTTTTGTTCTCCTACTGTTTAGAGTAACGGTATTAAACTCTGTGTATTCAGTGTCGATGTAAAGCTCAAGCCTGAATTTTCCTCTCAATTATTGAATCGCTTGGTACAGCGGGATAATTCGAAGGCAATTGGGAATAATTTACGGAATTAACATCCCCTGACGGATGTTGACATTGTGAGATATCGTTGAATGATCCACAACCGGACAGACTCTCTTGTAAATATAAATTAATTCAGTTTATTTATTATTAAAAAAATATTTATTAAAAAAAAATTTAAACTTCATTGAATTGTCAACTGTTCCTGAAATTCCAATTTATTTTCAACTGTGTGTATTGGAGATGTCCGCGGGTAATAACCTCAGTTGTTGGATTTAAAAACGAAGAAGAAAAATCGAAAACAATCTGCCGTACATTGTAATTTCGTTCATCACAGCGGATGTCGGGGGAGACTGTGGAAAGGGATGAAAGTAATGGTTCAATAGTTGGTATTTACGGATCAATTCGGCCTCTTGGAGAGCCGAGACATGTTTCTAGGTGGGATTTTCACTTTAATAGAGAAAAATACGATTCCACGTTGAACAACAGCCCAGAATATTCCCAGTATTAAAACATTAACTATCTTGATCTAAAGATTTTGATGCACGTCGTTCATTATTCCCATAGATTCCGAATTTATCCGGCTTTGAAGCTCGACGAAATCCCTTGTAACGGCATGAATAATGCACCTCCATTATATTCATCATTGACTTATAATGAGACATTCACGTACTTTTACCTTGGAAAAAAAAATGATATGAAAACGACAAGACCACCGAGAGAATGCATTCGTTGAACACTACGGATTAATGATTTGGCGTTGCAAAAAACTCTGTATTCATGGAATTTACGATGCGTTTGCACAACTCTCCTCGGATTATACGTTAATCTGTACGTAAAGCACATGAGAGACGAATTTTAATGGTGATTTTTTTTTTTGCTCTCGAAGTACCGGAAGGATAACAGATGGAATCGCAGTGAAAACAAATATTTGAACAAAGACATGATGCATTAAAATTTTATAGATTCATGACTCGGAAAAGTCGTAAAGACTCGAGAAAATTTTTAATTTCCCTCAATTTGCTCGCTGTAATTGTCAGTAGAAAATCAAAGTGGTTATATGGATATATAAGAGTCCTAGTGTCAATTTCAATTCTTCGGATAAGCATCCGATGTCAATTGATAAATCAGAATTCAATAGTATCAATTGGAAATTCCGTGGCATTAGTATTCACAAACGTCCGTTTTGAGGCATGGTTTTGGAATGGGATCAGAAAGGGATGCTGGAACGTGTTATCCGGTTGGACTCTACGTGACGTACGTAATTGAGCATGAGGCTGTCAAAGGGATAGAGGGGAATGAGGTTGTTTTGACGTGACTGTAGAGACGTTATTGCAATTCGGCCCTTGTACTGTATAATATCCGTCCATCATTGTTTGACAGACATTGGGTTAACCGGAACGTCAGGTGAACCATCCGATTCATAAGCTTTTCACGATGGAAAATATCCCAACAGGGCTGACCATTGAAATTCAAAAATTCTTTTCAAAAATTTTACTGCTCCTTTCCCTGAAATCTTTAAAAGATTGAAGATTGCAGACTGATTGAGACTCATTGAGAAATCTCTCCATTCTGGTGTTCGGTAATAGATTAACTTTGATTGAAGGGCTGCCAATTGTGATGGCAGCCAATCGAACTATTGAGCTTGATAATTAGTAGACCATTCCATTAGTGGGGTATTCGGTCCTTGGTCTGACGTACATTGGCTGCACAAGAGCTACATCGTCAAAGAGCCCACAGTGTATACAGTACATACGCCGAACTGCAGCCAAGTGTCTCTGTTACTTGAGTGCCTATTCGATAAATCATTTTTTAGCTTAACCCAAATTTGATTCAATAAATGAGGAGCATCATCAGGCTTGGTTCGATATCAATGTGTGTCTTTAGATTTATTTTTCATCATGTTGATTGTGTGATAGACAAAAATGATAACTGACCTCGAGAAACTGCTGCACTGTGGCGTCCACTACCATCAGGGGTCTCTGGATCAAATGGACGACTCCATTTTTCACAGCTATATTCGGTTTTACTATCTCAGCAAGAACCACTCCTGTTGGATGCTTGGCATCACCAGTTAACGTGTTGGATTTTACGTAAACTGAAAGTGTTAAAAATCATTTCTATTACGAGTGAATCAATTTGTCTTGATTTATAATCGCTTTCTGGGGGACGTCATCAATTTAAATAGATCTACTTGAATAGAATGAATCATCAGACAAATCGTTTTCTAATAGTGACAGAATATCTAATTGATAGAGGCGATAGGAAGTGAAAAATTTGTAGTAGCAGTCAGCAATGAATTTATCTTCGTAAAGTCGTGGAGACTCACCCTTTCCTCTGTTATCCTTGACGAAGCTCAGCTGGACCCTGCAGTTATCGTTGTGGGCCAGGGTGTCGTAGGTCATTCCGTCGGGTGTCGGATCGGTGAATAGAACGTGATTCGGTATTACGTGACCATCAATCACCTGTTTGTCTATTTTAACTGGTCGCATTGACGGCTGCAAAGACCAATCAATAAATTTCATTAAATTCTGGATCAATAACAATTGGATGCTATTGGGTGAAGGTAGGGGGATCCATGCCGAATGTTTACAGTCATACAATCCCCTGAGTCTTATCGGTTTTCACCACTCATCCCCTATGGCTTATGCAAATCTTTTCTCTCTGCGTTATCTGGATCTCGGATGAGGTTCGCGAGGTAGCGCGGGGGGTCTATCCCATTTTCTATGAATTTTCAATTCACTCGGTTTTTTTTTTCGAACGTGAAGAACAGATTCCGGAGAAAATCGGGGCAAATCGAATTGGAATTATGAGCAATTCAGTTGAGTGGCATTATACTTTATTTATTATTATAACAGAAATAACAGAAATGTAATGTTTGAAGTTGAATTGCGATTTTACAGTGGGTTTATGGAGGGAAATACTCTGACAGTGTGTGAAGTAAAGTTTCTAGTGATAATATTATACATGGCGACTTAAAAAATAGCCGGGAGATAGGAAGGGTAGAGGCCGGAGTTCTGGTGAAATTCATGGCGTTCCCCAATATGTGGTGAGGATCACAGGAAGTTGCATCGATGAAGGCACCTCCTCGCCCCGTGAATTCACCCTGACGCGTGGAACGTGACGTGAAATATTGAACGTTATATAGAACCATCAAAGTCACTTGGCTTGACATTTCAGGGGTGGGAGTTGAGCCTCAACAGAAACTGGGTTTCCTGCCTCCTGGCGCTCGTTTCCGCGGCCCGGCAAACGTGAAAAATTTCCATACCTCCATACCCCGATGCAATCCTTTTATACGTACATTTTGCACTACTTATATGGAATGTTGCATACCAAAGAGGAGAGTGAGAGGGCTCGGTGGTTTAGCAATCGATTGAAATTCAACTAGCGGCATGAGAGTTTCTGGGAGATAAGGGACGATAAAGAGAGAACTTATCGGGAAAAATCTGTTCGGGATTCAACTCTACAAATCCTGGCCCCAAATCGTCGCCCTATCATTCCCAGTCGCAATGTATTCAACATATTTCTATTGTTCCATTCGTCATGTCCACTGAAGAATAAAAAAGTCATTGTCTCGGTCTGCATCGAGAGGCTTTTCAATGAACCGCTCACCAAACTACCATAAAGTTATTTATTCCTCCCAGTTTTAAATACTCGGAGGAGTTTTTTTGAATATTCTACGTGGAGATGCTATCCGCCGGGGCTATATACCATAATTACCACAATTTTACTCCCAGCGAGTGTTGGGAAGTTTCAGACAGATGTGGAAAACCACCTTGGATGGATATTACGGAAAAGGAAATGTTATGGTGGCGTAATTAATGCGCCTCAGCTAATTAAATATTTGGTCGTTTGTTAACCGCAGCTCCACCACGGAGCATTATGGGGACAAGGTGGTTTACCACGGATTGACTTTTCACCTTCTTCACCAATCCCTCCTTTTTTTTTATAACAGAATTTTCCAATTTTTTTCGCTCAGGTTAATTAAAAAATTCTCATCCCCATTAATTAAGAAAATTCAAACAGATTTAATGGATTATGAAATGAATCCTTGTAAAGCTTTCGATGAAGTTGATAAAAATAAAAAAAAGTGATAAGTCGAATAATTAGCTCACCTTGAATCCCTCCTCATCAGGAACGAAGAATGTATAGCGACCATCAGCGCTGAATACGTGCTGCTTTCCCTCATAAACAACTCGCTCACGGAACGTTCTGGAAGACAGAAAGAAAAAATTGTGATTTAATGGTGTCATTGTTCTCGTCAAGTGTTTAAAACTACAGAAATGGAAATAGAATGCATCATTTCCGTAACATCTTTCACAGAAATTATCAAATAATGGACATTTAAATGTCCCTTTTTATATCGTCGTGTTCCTAACGGAATTCCAACTTCGGTACCTAGTACCAAGTGAACCAGGTGGAATGCGTATTTTTCTCGAGGCGGAAAATTGCCTTTGCATAGACAGCTAGTGGCGCGAGAGCTTTTCGTAATTTTCTCCAAACTCTGCGGGCTCTACTTTGGTGTATTTATGGAAGAGGAACAGCCTGGATCGTTTACCTCCAGTTTCCCCATTTTTTTTCCACCCTTTTTCCCCATCGATTCTCCTCTTTTTTTCCCCTATTTCTGTGTCACGTTTTGTAAAAACTTCTTTGCCAGTGTCTTCTTGGACGATTTATTGGTTTGTGGGGTGAAGGGAAAAATAATGCTCACCGAAGTCTGAATTTGCCAAGCTGAAGATTCTCACTCTGGTTTAGAAACTCGAAAGCATTTGGATTGTTGACAGGTCTGTCACGGGAGTTTGGCTGCAGTGGCTCCAATACTTGAGATATCCGGTGCAGATACTGCAAAATATAAAGAGCAATTTATAAATAATCTTGTTTTTTGCAATAGAAAAATTTTTCGTGGAAAGCTTATAAAAATGATGTGTATTTTATGGATAAACTCTGAAATGATAAAGAATAGCCGTTTCACCGAGAAATAAAATGGAATGACCGAAGGACTGGGGGAAGCCCGAAAGTCCGAAATTGCTTAAAAAATGAATAAAAAATTGTTATTCCGGTCTCTTTGTTTTTACCAACGTATTCGTTGAGACGACCGAAGAAACGAAAATTCCAAACACCGGTCCTTTTATACCGGTGCATGGCATAAATGTGCAACTAATACATTGTCCAATACACATCGGGAAATATACATGCAGGAGGATAGGTACTATAAACCGCACACACATTCCACTTGTCTCAACGGAATGGGCGTGTCCCATTTATCCACACCGTTGGGGTTGCAAAGGGACGTAAAACGACCAGTAGAAATGCAACTGGGGGAGGAAAATCAGAAAGGTCAGTGACCTTTGCTGTCTACGGCTGACCACAGCCACTGCCTCTACCACTTGTCTCAGGATTATTCAATCCTCGGGGAATTATTCATTTTCAACCGAATTATTCGCCCATGAAAACTGAAAAATCATTCCACCGTTATTTGCTAATTCTTTGAATATCACAGAGATTATGGTATTTGAAATCCGCAAACTTTACCTTTTAAGTCTCATCGACATTAATTCTCATTTTTCATCTGAATTTTCAAACTCTCAATTAATATTTAATATCAACATCCACTGGATTTTCAATGGATTGCAATTATTGAATTTTGTGCAGGACGTTGAATAAATAATGGAGTTGTAAATAACTTCCTCTTTCCCTCTTCCAAAAAGAGCAGAAAATATCCCGGAGAAAAAAATAATAATTTCAACTCACGTCGAATTGGAGAGTAAAAATCCATCTATGATGGAACGATTTAAAATAATAATCTCCCTTGTAATTTCTGGTAATTTATCTTGGATGTATTTATTTACCTTCGAATGGGTGAAGATGGGGGGAGGGAGGTGGAAATTAAAGTGAAAGATAGCCGCGCCTCATCCACGGGAATCTCAGCTATAAACAGAGCTAGGGCTGGAGCCCATGACCACCATGGATTTTATCGTCGAGTTAATTTAAAAGATAAGACAGATACGCAATATCGCGTTGTCTATTCTTTTTCTTCTCCATCCTTGCCTCTTACACTGTAGTTCGGATAATAACCATCCGGGGGTGGATCGTTACACACCCCAGGCAGTCTCTAATTGAAAAAATACCAGACGCTATATCCCTTGAATTTTTTTTCCACCCAATATTTTAATCACCTTCCCACTCATTTTTTTTTGCAATTGCATTATCCACCTTGTCTCTCCACTACAGCTCATTGTTAATAATTATCTTAAATTTGGAGTCATTGCGCTCGATAGCGTTCGGATAATACATTCATCCACTTTATAGTCCGCAATGAAAAATTCTCAAAGGGGTTTTTGCTGTGAGGGGAAAGGGGAGGTAGGGAGGGAGGATGGGGCTTTGTGAAAAATGTGAAACAGAAGAGAACAAAGAATGGGGTCGTCAAACATGTATGACTTTAACTCTGTACTTCCACAGACGTTGAAATACATGCGGTCATTATTCAAACGACTCGACTACTCGCCACTGGTCTCCAACGACTCCCCATTGACCACTTCGAGGCATTTATACCATTCATGAAATTCAAACTCTCTTGTTACTGATTTTACAGGCCGTTCAATCTACCTCACGTCCATTTGTTCGATTAAAACTTTATCTGTAATAATAAAAAATTTATTTTGAGACTTGTGTGTGTTATGACGACGCATGCACTTGCGGAATAAGTAATAAGTTCCTATTAGGCATTATTAATTCTTAATGGGAATTAACAATGATTAATTATTAGAAAGAAAAAAAATTGGATAATCAGAAAAATTATGGTGTACCGTATGTCATTTCTTTGCGGTGGATGGGCTGGAGTGTCTGATTGAAGGGACGATGAACTGAGAGATAAGGAATAGTCTGAAGGTACTTGCCAACCAGAGTAATTCTCTGGCACCTTGTTTCACCACCCACCTGCACCACCCACTCTTATTTTTTCCTCTTACATATACTTCACATCGTTCTCGTTCAACGGAAAAACGTGTACCGACGGAAAAAGATTAATGTCCCTAGAGCTACCTGAAATGGCATCCCATCCGTTCTTTCTCCAGAGACTCCCGAGGATTGGTCGTTTAGAGCTCCAATTGACATCGAGAAAGCACTCGGGAGAGGGTTATTATAGATTGTCGTACGATGATAACGCAATTCCTTATTCCTCTCATTTTAATTTTTCAGAATTTTTAAAATCTCTCTAATGACAGTTTATCCGAGGATTGAAAATTTTTTTTTTCTGTCGGAGTAGATGAAAAAATTCCGTACGGCCAATCACTGGAAAAATAATGAGCATTCAAAACTTGAATGTGAAGGCAAAAAAGAAAAATGAAATGGCTTAATAATTTAGGGCAGAGTATTTCCTTTTTTTTATCTGGTTGATGGAAAATACTGAACCCGTAAGCCGGTTTAATCCTGAGAGTTACGAGGCACGTCACATACATGTTAATACACGAAAACATGTGATATAGACTCACAAAATAGAGAGAATAGCGTGTGCGTAACCGGCGATCTAATTTTGGTGGGTGAAAGCCACCCTGAAAGGGGGTGGTTTTATCCCTGTGTACTCTGGGATACGAGTGTGGCGTCGCGACGACCTGGCGCCAATCCACGAGCCCGAAAGGCTCTCTAACCCAGATTCTCATTCCTCTTATTTTAATCCCCCATCTCCCACAACCTCCATTCCTGCACTTGTCTGCTATAATTTTGAAGAGAGAAATATCTCGATTCCTATAGTCCCTGTTGGCTATCTCTGGTATTTCCATATTGAAAAACCAGACAACTCCTGTCTTCTTGCGAATTCAACGTCAAACCTATCCGTAATATTGCATTTCCATTAAAATCATCAAGTCAATTAATTGAAATGATTATTACTCGCACGAGAAATAAGACAGGATAAATTTATTTGTTATTTATTTTTCCGGAAGATGTTAATTGAAGATCTCTATTTCAGCAGTGAGTGAACTTTCATTCTCTTTTCTCATCTCTGCAATTATAATTTGCCGTGACCGTGGCAACCTGTCGTTCCCGGCGCATAAAACTGATTGAAAAACCCACCGCCCGTGGATTCCTCCATCTCCGGTGCGAAAATAGCTTTCACCCCATACATGAAAGTGACGTTAAGTAGAGGAAGATAACTCGATTATCGAGAATAATAAAATTGACGCGACAGATACAGAACCCCTGTGATAATTATCAAAATAATCCGCCGAGCCACGTCTGCGGAATTAAAAGAACCAATTAAAAGCCCTCCTAATGAAATTTCGCTAAATAAAATTGCCCGAGAATAGTTTTACCGTGAAATACACGTAAATGAAATGGACATAAAGAGGAGAATTGAGTTGTAGATAGAAAAACAGGAGGAGAATAATAAGATGCTTGGAGAAGAAAGAGAATATTCTTTGTGAAATGTCACAAACAATGCAATTTCTTCTCTCATCGGTACAACACTCCGGTGCAATTCTAATGCACTTGGGGAATAACCAGCGAATTCAACAATTCAAAGTACATGGTGATGTAAAATTTTGCACATCAAACGTGAGGAACCCGGGAAACGCTTGGAATGAAAAAAAAAAAATAATATAAAGGCCGGGGTGAGGGTGGTAAGAATGTAGGGTATAAGGAGGGAATGTCGAGGTAGGGGCTCGTGGTCTCGAGACCCTCCATCCTCCTCCATCCTCCTCCATCCTTCTCCATCCTCTCTCCATCCTCTCTCCTGTAGCGGTGCATTTTTTAATCTCGAAAAATACTCTCTTTTGTAGCTCGTTACGACGTCTGTGAGATGCCGAGGAGAGTTGCCAAGGGGAAAAAAATGTACGTGGGGAGGTGGAAAAGGGGTTGGATTATGCCTCCGGCTTTCTTCAGGAGGGCCCTTCTTGTTTTTTGATAATACCTCGAGAAACTTCTTGACATTTTCTTGTTTTAATAATTAAAGGGCCGGATCGATGTGTCACAGAGAACCATTAACATTTTTTTCCCCATTATTATTTTTCTATTTTATTTTATTAGGAGTGAATTGGAGGACTTTTACCCTAAATTGAATTTATAGGCAATCTCCGGGAAATTATAAGCTGTATGTCCCTGAAATTTCAATTTTCTGCCAGCCGTCAAGTGTGTTAATTCGGCAATTAAATAAAACGGTGGATTGTAGATAATTTGCATCCCACTTGACGCACAGCACAATCATGAAAATCCAATTAGTGTTTCGTAATTATACATTCAGCTGAGCGAAAAGGTTAAATAGGATTCCTTGGGGCTAACTAAGTTACATGAACCGGTGAAAACTAACGAAACTTGAGTCGTCGCTTATTCCGAGTATAAAGTTTATGGATAGAAAATTAAGTGCAGATATTGCCACGTGCACTCGGCAAATCAACGGCCAACAGAGTTTTGCTTATGGCCTCCGAGTTATTTCAAACGTGATTTTCTCAAGCGATAATGATATCGCTGTTGACTCATTCCGCCCATTCATACAATTTTCCAATAAATATTTCATTGAATCAATTGAATGTACGATAAAACAATAGCTAAAGTTGTTCCATCAATCAGAGATCTCATTACACTGAAAGCTCATTAAAATCTCGTTAAACCCTGATGTTCCCAAAGGAGAGTGACCAAACATTCCAACATACCGTCCCCGAGCCCATTATCGCAGTCCAACGAGACCCGATGACTCGTGTTTCCAACAATTCATCAGTTCCACTCACCTGATTCTTTCCCTCGAAACCAGCGGTCCTCATCGGTCGATAATTGCTTCCATTGAGTATCTTGGCATTGTTGATATAAATTTCCTCCTGTCTATTGACATGCACTCGAGTGACCCACAGGGGAGGATTACCATCCAGCTCCGATGAAATCGAGTCTTGCAGGTCCCAAGTAGCTGTCGCCGTATTCGCTGCAACAAAAAAACAAAAGATTAATTTTTTCTCTCGACAATTTACCATTTTTAGATAAAAAAATATTGACGGTAGTTTTCACGTTATTTTGATGGTAATTTTTGTTGAAATTTTTCGCACCGGTGTAGTCATCCCTTTTCATTCACTCGAATACATTGAATTACCTGGGAATTGTTGGAGCGCGATGAGGAAAAAGAAGACATTATTATGACATTTACGGGGAAGTTGGTGATGGTGGGTACGATATCAGGCGTGAAAATGCCCGTTGGCTGGGTAAACTTTTGCCGGTCCAGATAAAAGTTACTTCGATTACGTTGGAGTGAGGTAGAACGTCCGCTACGGGGAATCACGAGCAAGTGAGCTAGCAATATACACTGGTGATGGTGATAGTGACAATGAGATTGCGGTGTCACACGTATAGATACGTAAAAAGGGCTGGTTTCTTGTTGGTTTCTCAGTGTCATCGAGCTGATACTCCAGCTTTCAGGTATTCCCGTTGCAATCGCCTGTGCAATCAGCAACAACGACTTGTACGTGTCGAGAGGCTCCAGAAGTTGATGATGGTTGTCCCAGATATTGAAGTTTTCATTGATCATTTGGTACTTGTATATTGTCGAGGCGTCACCCTTTTTTTTATAAAATTTCCATCTACAGAGATCACTACAATTATTTAATTTATGGGTAATGCAAATGTTCGAGGGAATTTTATGAGAGAAATTGAAAAAAACAGCTCGAAATACTGACTGATGGCGATTGGTCTTCCGATTGCTGGTGTCTTGTCGGCTTGGAATATTTCCCGGATGATTTGCATCACAAATTCCTGAATCAACGAACAAACAAATAGAAGGTACTAGTTCTCGGCGAGAGTGGGAATGAAGTCTCGTGGAGGATGAGATGAAGGAGGGAAATACCGGGGTTTCAGAGAGCAGATGTACTTGCTCGGTGGTGCGACAGAATTTCAAACTTGTTGGTAATTGATTTAAAGAGGTGTCTAAACAAGATCCAGAGGGTTAATGCTATGATGACGGAGGTCTGATTCATAAACCGGTTGATTGGCATTCATTCATTGAATAAATTTTAAACATTTAAGAGTAATTTTCAAAATAATTTCCCTCCCATGAAGATTATTAATGGGCATGAACCTCAGGCATTTCCTCATGGTTTTCTCGCACAATTAATACCTGATGGGTTGATTTTATTTGACGAGGAAGGAAATGTCTGCCGACGGAGTTGATAATTGAATGAAGAGGAAGTGTCCTCTAATTAATGGTGCAAGGCGGGTGGGATTTTGGGGAGGGCGTGAATTTAAAAAAAAAAGGAGAGGAACACATCGCGAGCTATTGGCAATTAAAGATGCTCCATTGTACCTCAACTCTGAGAGAATTTTGCCGTTCTTTGTCACTGGAGAAGCGCAAAAGGATGCTCGAGTGGCAGTGCGGTGCTTCAATTTTCACTCGAGTGAAAAAGGAACGTGGTGGGCACACCCGTGAAAAACGAAACTCGAGAAATAATCGGTATACCGAGTTTGTGAGACGGCTTTTGTGCACACTCCAGGGGGCTTTTACCCGATTTTCCGGCAACGGTGAAAAGTGAAGCGGATTTCCCACGTTCTTTGGCCTCACCTTCTGACGAGTCGTGTTGTCGTCATATTTACTGTTAAATTCAATGCCCCTTTTTTCACCCGAAAGAAATCTTTTTCAACATTTAATAATAATAGAAATTTTAATAATAAAGAAAAAAAAAGGGAAAATTATTATTTTATTTTTCATTATTCACCTAGATTAATAAGTTTGATAAATTCGAGGTGTCTTTTTCATGGAACAAGTTTGAGGAATTATTTTTATTTTTATTTGAGTTGCGATGATAAATTGAATGCATTGAATTTTTCATCTCCATCAATTAATACCCCTCGGAGTGAATTGGCAAAAAGTTTGAAACTACAAGGCAACAACTATCGAGTGGTGGCAGCAGTTGCGACGACAGCTGCAAACTCAGCTGTTAGGTTAAGTGTATGTGTGTGTCAGTGTCAGTTCAGTGTCAGTGTCAGTGGCAGTGGGGGATTCTCTTTCTCCTGCCAGTTGGAGACTTATGCTCATGCCGGTATATGTGATATGTTCTCACTTTTCATTGTGTTTCCTACCCGTTGAAATCAAACCACCACGAAATTTCCAAGGACTCAATTTTAAAGCGTCAAAAAAGTCCGGAAATCAGACAGATTGCGGGCATCAATTATTCCCTGAGCGTCGCAGAGGTCTTTTGCATAATGGATAACGTCTCTGTGTCGAAGGTAAAGTGATAAATATAACTTTACAACCTGTTGCGTGTGAAACATAACCTAAACTCGTGAGAGAAATTTCAAGAGATGAGAGTGATTTAGCATTCTGCACATTTTATTGTTTTTTTTAAATGTTCACGTCCCTTTCTTCACTCGTCAATAATTAATGCGTTCACATTAATTAATTTCCAATGGAAATTCACGTCTAATGCTTCTCACCACTCTGGATATAATTTCTATAATTGAAGTATCACAAATTAATTTTTTTATTCATTACACTTCGATTGGTGTTTGATATTAAATACATATTAATTTGTCAGAGCCGTATTACTGTGCTACAATTCAACGATAATTCATTTGATTTAGGGAGTATTTGCGTACAAAGGCAATTATAGAATTGGCCAAAAGAAACGAAAAATCAATGATGATGTGCCAATTGATGAGCCCTGGTACGAGGCGTACACAGATGCTTGGTCCATTATAAAAAATGCAGCAGAGGTATTTTTTTTTCCTTTACATTAATTTATCAATTTCCATATTCATTCTCCTCTAATTATGCATTGAACTATCGCAATAATTCAATAAGACAGAGCATCCAAAAGTTATATTAATAATGACTTGCATGAGATAGTAACAGGTCAAATGTCATTCGAATATCGTGAATATATTCATTCGGAATAATTATTTCTAGGAGATCAACGTCAATATGTTCAGGCAAATTCTCTCAGATTTCCAATCTTATGTATCTGATTTAAATCACACGAGAGAAGATAATTTTCTAGGAGAAATTGCAACCGCTATTTTATTAACAGGTGAATTGACAGATATTCATGAATTTATATTCAACCTATTCTTTTTTAATAATGCACTGAATTAATGTGAAGGTGTGAATCTGCCTGATCACGACGTTTTATTCAGCAAATTAGCGTCAAAGATATCCACGATAACAGAGCACATCGCAATAATTCCATCGAGAGACTCGGGAAATATGAAAAGCTTAACCGAGGAGACTGTCTTTCAGCTGATTAATAAATCCAGTGAGGTAATTGGATTTTCGAATAAACATATGGCCCAGCTCAAGAATTTGTTCAATTACTTGAATTTTCCATGAGAAATAATATTTTATTCAATTGATTCGCCGTTTTTAATGAGAGGAATTATTCTCATCGTACAAATATTTAATAATGAAAAATTTTTCTATAAAATGGAGGCGTTTCAGTACGAATAATGCATGCATAATTGCAGCATGTCTTCTCTGACATTTTCAATAATTAAACATTGAAACTGAATTGCACGAACGAAATTAAAAATCACTCAGCTGCAATAAAAATCCTAAAATTAAGCGAATGACGTGAAAATGATGGAATAATATTGAGAAACATTTTCATATCTGTAGAAGGAGCGTCCAGAGATACGAAGAAATCAATGCACATTTAGAGCTCTCGAGTGGTGGTACAAACAGAAACACAATGAAGACCCTCCACTAGTGGTTATCATACCGGACTTTGAAAGCTTCAATCCTATTGTACTGCGGGATTTTATCCTCGTGCTGAGGTAACCCACCGACACACCAATCCACAAACGAATAAAATCCCTCAAACGTCATCCACATCATATGTAAAATCGTGGCAATTTGAATTTTCCAGCTCGTACTCAAGGACCATAAAATTCATTCTCGTATTCGGGGTTGCTACAACTTTACATGCCGTCCACAGATCTCTCTCCTATGATGTTACGTCAAAGTTACGTGTAAAGGTAAATACAAATATCTTTTCAAATTCACTCATGACTGCATTAAAATCCGTGGATTCACACACACGTTTTGGTGATGAAGAGAGCGTCGGGGGCCATACCATAGTCACTTAGATAGCAAACAAAACGTTCTCTCACGCTTCTCGACGAACGTGGAAATGAAACGAGGGAACAATATGAATTGCTAATTTTCATGAGGGCCGGGTTTAAGGCTAAAAGCGTTGGGCATGGCTGTGTGGCAGATTAGCTTCTTAATTGGAATATTCAAATTGAAGAAAAATTCAAACACACGAGTTTCGAGTAGTTTATACGTTCTTTACTTCTCGTAATTCCGAAAATTATTTTAATGAAAAAAAATTGCTACTGTTTTTACATCCACAGCTGCAATTAAATCTTTTTGAGTAATCAACTGGCATGAGAAGAGGGTGCGTTTAGAGAAAAAAATTCAAACGACAAGATAATGTTAAATAATCTCTCTGAATCATGAATGATTCATTGGGAGAGCAAATGCTTTATTATTTTCATTGATCATTAGCGAAGGAATAAATTCATGCAGAACTCTGATTGCGAATAGAATCATCAATGAGCCGATGAATACACACTCATTACTGAATGTTCCATCGTGATTACAGATTAGTAATGTATTATTTCTGATGGCATGTGAATAATTATTTTTTCATAAAAACTTCTGCAAAAGCACCAAAAAAATTATCGCGAATAAAGAATTTTTGAGGGAGTAGTAATTTTTTTAATTAAACTGAACTACTCTTCAGGTTTTCCACACACAAACGCAGATTACGAGTTTATCGGATGTTCTTGAGGGTACTGTGTTATCCGGTAAAACATCGTTTATGTTGACGGGCAGAGCATTTCAATTGCTGACGGATATATTTCTATTTTACGATTTCTCGGTTCATGGATTTCTCCAAGGATACAAGGTAAATCCGAATGATTTGATTGACAAGAATAAAAAAGCTTCGGAGGATAATGTGATTTTGGATTATTTCAGTTATGCATGATTCAACATTTTTATGGCAACAACCTAACAGCACTGTGCTGCAATTCTCAAGACATTGATAAACGAATGGCGAGCCTCAACGAGGAAGACATAAAAGAATTGAGGAAACTCCCATCAATAGTCAAGTACATCGACAAGTTGAAAAAGGATAGAAACAGTGATATGAACGAGGAGGAGTTTAAAAACATCATTGGAAAACTTTTGAGGGAGTTTCATAATGCCATGAGTGGATTTTTTACCATCCTCAAGTGCCTTCATTCACTGACTCACTCACTTCCCGGTGCACCACTGGGAAAACAAGTATGTAACTCAAATTCTGAATTCACAAGGCAAAGGAATAATTTAACGTTGGCTTAACAGCCAGTGACAAAATTTTTCTCGTCTCGAGTATTTATCCTCATTAGCATTTAGTTGAGTTGTTTGTCTTTATTCATGCTTCTCTGGTTTTTATGCATTCATTTGGGCACTTTTAGCTTCGGGAAATTTATGCTAACGCCGTCACCTGCGACATTGTGGAGACACAGGAGTACAAAGAGTCCCTGCAACTCCTGGGGTTTCTCTCCAAGACTGAGCTGTTGGAGAAACTGAGGGAAATTTTGGAAATTGTGGGGAATGGCGAGGTGTTCGAGTTGAATGAGATTCGAAAGAAGCTTGAGAGACACTTGGAGATTATTGAGCAGGCCAGCCTTGAGGTGGAGGAATCTACGCAGACCGTCAGCATGAGTGACAAACTCAACAGACAGCAGTTCAAAGAGGTACTTGATAAAATTTCATATTGATCGTTATATTTATTCGTTGAATTCTCCCTCAGAAATTACTCAAGATGTCCCAGCAGCAATCCAGGTCACCCTACAAACAAGCTCAAATTGATCTGATGGAGTACCTAGACCACGATGTATTCGCCCCGTACTTGGTAAATCCGAATCGCCTGGCAACCAGTGAAATATTCTGTTTCAGTGATGCTAATGCAGCCAAGCATCATCTCAGAGGTTCTCTCAGAGCAGCTGTACACACAGGGCTGAACGATCCTCAGGTTTACCTGAATGTGAGTATATTTTTTGCTTTACCATTTTATTCTGGAGTTAATGCCCCATGGCATTTCACGAGCCCCTTGAATCATTACAAGTCATGGAAATTGGATTACGTAAATGCGCTCTCTAGAGCAGTTACTCGATGATGAAAAGCCTCTTTAAAGCAAAATCTCGATTAATTCGGTTGTGAATCGCGAATGCAGAGCACTAGTCGATTATAGCCACGAATAATTCTACGAGAAGTTGGTTATCATTTGGTTTGTGCTTGATGAATTGCAAATGACTCCTTTACCACTTAATTCTCAAAATTCACCTCTATGAAAATGTATACTACAATGGGCCTATCATTTTACCAGTGTGGTTGCTGTAAATTAGAGAACGAGGAGACGATTCAGCAGACTCTACCTGACACCAGTATTATTTACAAGCTGCATTTGGAGTCCAGGAAACTGATCAATATGTACGACTGGCTGCAGGTAATGCACAATCTCACTTCAGGGGATCATGAGCCATTTGTGCATCACGCACACGTCTAAAATTCATGCATGCAGGGGCGGAATGGGGCCTGTATCAATGAGATTTTAATCATTCGGGGATGATTTATCATTCCTGTCTGTGGTAGGGGGAAACACTTTCGTGCGGTTTTAACGGGGCATTTTTCAGTCTGCAAATGACGGGTTTGTTAATTTTACCCACTTTTTCCAAATGTCGGCACTATTAAATCGTGGTTTGTGGCGTTTAAACATTTTTTTTTATTTTTATTTTAACAGGCTTTCCTCACAATCGTCAGTCCCAAGGACGATGCCGAGGAGCAGAGGGAGATTGATCCAAAAATGCAGTATCCTTTCAAAAATGTTCTCTCTTTTGTGTCTGTTGTTTCAATTAATGACGAAAATTTTCCTCAATTATTTATTATTAGAGCGCGCTTCACTCGAGCAGTTGCAGAGCTTCAGTTTCTCGGATTCATCAAGTCATCGCGTCGAAAGACAGATCATGTCAAACGTCTCACATAATTATCCAACATTGTACTGTCTTGCGCCTTTTTCATGCATTTTTATTAAATAAAAAAATTTTGTATTTTTGCATAAAAACCATTTTTACCTTCCTTTCACGATGGAAGATATCCATCTAGCCATAAGGAAAGAATTTATATTTTTCACTGAAATTGAAAAATTCTAAATTTTTCAAAAAGTACCAGGGGAGCATAATAATAAAGGAGGTATTCATTGAAATTGAAAAATTCGAAATTTTCAAGAAAGTATCAGGGGAGCATGACGATCGAGGAGGTATTCATTGAAATTGAAAAATTCGAAATTTTCAAGAAAGTATCAGGGGAGCATGACGATCGAGGAGGTATTCGTGGAAATTGAAAAATTCGAAATTTTAAAGAAAGTATCAGGGCAGCATGAAGATCGAGGGGGTATTCATTGAAATTGAAAAATTCGAAAATTTCAAGAAAGTATCAGGGGAGCATGACGATCGAGGAGGTATTGGTGGAAATTGAAAAATTCGAAATTTTAAAGAAAGTATCAGGGAAGCATGAAGATCGAGGGGGTATTCGTTGAAACTGCAAAATTCGAAAATTTCAAAAAGTATCAGGGGAGCATGACGATCGAGGAGGTATTGGTGGAAATTGAAAAATTCGAAATTTTAAAGAAAGTATCAGGGGAGCATGAAGATCGAGCTGGTATTCGCCGAAATTTAAAAATTCGAAATTTTCAAAAAAGTATCAGGGGAGCATGACGATCGAGAAGGTATTCGTGG